CACTCTCCCGCTTTCTCTCACCATCTCTCTCTTTCCCACTCCCCCCGTCCCGCCCCGCCGCCCCCCCCCCCCCCTTTCTCTCTCTCTGTCTCTCTCGCTCGCTGTCTCTTTCTATAGTTCACTCGCTCTCTCGGTCTCCGTAGCCTTTTCTCTGACTCGATAGCTCTCTCACTCTCTCTCTTTCTCTCTCTCTCTGCCTCTCTCTATGCCCCCTCTCTCTCGTCTCACTTACAACTACGATTCACTATTTCCATCGTATACTTTACTTTCCCCTCTCCCCCTCCGCATGCGTAATGAGTAGTGTAGCGGAATTCGCAAGCTAAAGGTTTTCCCGGCCAGCCAAAACAAAACGGGTTCCCTCCTCGTAGAACAGCCCTGTATGCTAATTGCCTACGTTTCGGCCTGCTTTCCCAGATTGCTAGCCCGGCTAGAAGTCGAAGAAGGGCGTCTAAAGGACTGTTGCGTAATGGCGCGTATTTTCCGAGAGTCGCCTTTATCTTCGAAACCCTTAAAATACCCATCCCAATCGTAAATAATCTCCGCAAGCCTGCCCTTTCCTGAAGAATCACTGCTAGCTTGCTCCTAAATTCCCAAATGGTCTCTGCAGCCCCCTCCAATTCCTAAAAAACCTCTGCCAGCCTGCCCAACATCACTGTTCTGCTCCAGCTGTTCGTGTAGATGCATAATGCATCCGACCGGGTGTGTGTATTCCGTTCGGGATGGGTAGTGGTGGAATGGAGGAACTGGTTCCAATTTCCATCTTCTGCCCGTCCGTTTTGTCGGTTTGTCTTGCTGTTTGTGTCTTTGTATCTCTCCTGATCTCTCTCTCTCGCTCTCTCTCTCCCTAAGTTGACTTCTAAAAGCCCCCGACCCCCAGCAGCGCATAAGGGCTCCAGGGATTTCGGCCGGCTTTCACTATCCGCAGCCGCAACTTCGATTTGCATGCCAAATCCTAAACCCAAACTAGGTGATTGTCGAAAAATCAGCTCCAATCCGTCGTTTTTGACTTTTAAAGGGCCCTGCAAGGCAAATCCACGCGCCGAGTTTTTTAGCGAGCATTATACCATCCCATCTGAATTTCGGCCTCTGGACAAGAATAGTTTGTGCTTTAAAGGAACCAGGAAGGCTAATCTATACGCCGATTTTTTTGGAAAATTGCCAGTTATTTTGAGACGCATTAAAGCCACTTTAAAGGGAGCGGTAAGTCAGGTTTTTACTGCCTACTTCGAATCTTGGCAAAAGAAAAGCTAGATTTTATGCTTTAAAGGACCGCTGAAGGCAGTTTTTCCTTCTATTTACACTCCATAACCCACGACCTTCTCTTTCTGGCTCTCTCTGTCTCACTCGCTATTCCTCTCTCTTTCTCGCTCTCCCTCCCTCTCTCTATCTCTCTCTCTCTCTCTCTATCTCTCTCTCTCTCTCTCTCTCTCAATCTCTCTCTCTCTCTTTCCTTGCAAAACCCGGAACACTTTTTGCACTCCCAACTTTTGATTCTCTATTTTCCCCATTGACCGCCGGATTACGGTATTAATCCGTTCATTTTTCACTCTTCCCCTTCCAAAAATTTCCACCGATTCCTATCCACACGCGTGTTATTTGATAAATTCGTGCAAAAAGTTCGGCGAATAATTTCAAATGAGTCAGCGGAGTATAAATACGCCAAAAAAATCCGTTCCACCCCGCTCCCCGGGCCAATTATTTACGGATTTATTTTTTGGGAGTGTAGCGGTCGTGAAAATGTTTGTTGGAAATGATGTGGAGAAGGTTAGGCCACAAAAAATACAATGTGTCATCGGAGTTTTATTCGGAATTTTTCAGATTTTAGCGGCCCTGTTACCGTGCCATACTTGCCTTCATTGCCCCTTTAAAAATCCAGCAACGGGCAGGCTAGCAGAAATCTTTAAGGAATTTCAAGGAATATTAAGAACTTCAAAAGCCCTTAAAATTTGGTATTGAGGCGAGCTAGTAGAGACCCTTTGCGTTGCTTACTCAGAAAATCCGGAAGTCTAAGACTAGTCAGAAGTGGCAAGCTAGCCGAGATTCTTTTGGATGGCTTTCAAAAACTGCTAGATACCTCTGAATCGAGCCTTGGGCCACATAGCAGAGATTCTTTGAGAATTTTGACTTATTTTCAGGGTATCCCCTTCCTGATCATCGCAGGCTAGCAGAGATCTTTAGGGAAATAGTGCAAAAACCGGTGAGAAAATTGGTAGAATGTTGGCAGGCTAGCAAAGATCATTGAGGAAACACTCTAAAAGCCCAGTCTGCCAAAATGTTGGTCCCCGGCTAGCGGAGATCTTTCGCGAGTTTCTAAAATCTCGAGAGAAGCGATGAAAAGGCGGCAAGCTAGCAGAGATTCTTGGTGGAACTGGTCCTGCGGCCTCCCCGTGGGCAGGCTAGCAGAGATTCTTTGTGGAAATCGAGTCTTTTCACATCCGCTTGGGCAGGCTAGCCATGATCATTTAAACCTTTTGAACGCTACTCTCGAAAATCGCGAACTTCCTTGTTTTACCTGTTTACCCCATTCCTCCCAAATGACTCACCAAGCGCCTGATTTCCCTTCGTTTATGTGAGTGTCCCCAACCTTTTTTTAATTTTTTGTAACACCAAAATGATGAGACGGAGAGAGCGAGAAAGAGAGAGAGACCGAGAGAGAGAGAGAGAGAGAGAGAGAGAGAGCAAGAGAAGCCGCCGGGCTTTCCCCAAGTCCTCCAGCCAACTGTTCAGCGTTGATGATCAATTGTTGGTGCTCGATTTGGGGGCGTGGCTTCGCCGTTCTCCAAATGTTTCCCACCCGGTGGATATATTTAAGCCACGGTTTTTGGCCACAGCCCCGTGCTTTATACACCCGGCAGAACGTGACGGCTTCAAGGGGGTCGAACCTGATTTTTGGAATTTTTTAGCTTCAGAATTTTGAGCTTCGTTTTCTCAATTTTTCGGTGTTTGGGTGGATTAAAGCTAAACTTAACGAAGCCTGAGCCCAAGCTAAGCCTAAGCCTATTTCTGCACTTTTTCTGTACTTCTTGAAGTTCTCCAGCTCTCAAAAATCGCTCGTATAGAGCCAGCAGCCCACAAAAATAAGCCCTGGACCCCATGCGGGGGTTTCCTGAAATCCAAACCGGGCCTCAAAAATTGGTAGCAAAAGAGGAGAGAGAGAGAGAGAGAGAGAGAGAGAGAAAGAGAGAGAGAGAGAGAGAGAGAAGAGAAAGCCAGAGCGCGATGCGTTTTGGAAAACAAAGAAGGCGACGTTTCGGATCAGAGAGAGAGAGAGAGAGAGAGAGAGAGAGAAAGGGGATTAGAGAGTCGCGAAAATGAGTATATGTCGGTATTTGTCTACATCGTCTCCCCCGGCTAAGGCACTCATCTTCTCCCTCCCCTCCCTATAGCCTGAGGGCTCGAACAAGAAGCCGAGCACCCCCCCCCCCCCCAACCACACACTTGTCACCCTCCCAACACCCCCTTCCGAACCCTCGGGGTGGTCAATTTGTTTTTCCGATTTGTTACGGTTGCGTCACGGGCAGGCTAGCAGAGATTCTTTAGGAAAGGGCAGGCTAGCAGAGATTCTTTAGGAAAGGGCAGGCTAGCAGATGACTATTAGGTGGAGTCAGGATGAGGAAATACAGCCACACCTCCTATCTATTTACCTTTACACCTCGTTATTTTTTCTTGATTTACCTTTAGTCTGAGTATTGTTTTCCTGGTGATTCAATGTTTAATTAACTGTAAAGATCGTCGATTATAAAGGTCTTTTCAAGAATGTTCCTTGAAATCTTCGGCTCTCTCTATCTGTCTCTCTCTCTCTCTCTCTCTTTCTATGCTAGAGATTCCGTTCCTCGCTGACATCATTCGACGGCGTTTAAAAAAATGCCGCTCAAGGCCGTTTGCCCAACTTTGGCTCTCTCTCTCAATCTCTCTCTCTCTCTCTCTCTCTCCTCTCTTTCTCTCTCTCTCTCTCCATTCAAAAAAGCTGTTTTATCCGGTTGGCTAAACTGTGGGGGGGGGGTGACTCACAGCCCAAATCCACCCATTTTTGCGCGACTCACGCGCGCCCTGTTAAATGGACGTACGGGGAAGTGGAACGGAGAGTAGGCCTGAGCCGTTTTCGAGGGTCTTAAAAAGTAGAGCTCGTTTCGGTGGAGCGGCATTAGGTAGCATCGCGGAATTTATGTATCTGGCTTTCTGTTGCTCTCTCTCTCTCTCTAGCTCTCTCTCTCTCTCGCTCTCTCTTGTAGCCAAAAATTGATTACGTGAGCCATTTTTTTGGCATTTTGCTGTTGGGCCGGGAGGAGAAAGCCGGTTCTTGTCTTTTGCCCCCTTCCACCCCATCCGGTCAATCCATTCGCTCGTCTTTTTCTTTGCTTTCTGTTCTTTTGAGCCTCAGCCACTCGTGAGCCCCACTTTCGCCCTCGAAAATGACCCCTGGCGCTGGGGTCATGGGGGTGAAATTTGAATATCTGAAGCTACGGTGCTCTTCTCTCCCTCTCTCTCTCTCTCTCTCTCTCTCTCTCTCTCTCTCTCTCTCTCTCGCTCTCTCGCTAACTCTTTCTTAGCTCTCTCTCACTCTCTCTCTCCCACTCCCTCTGTCTCTCTATCTAACTCACTCTCATTCTCTCTCTCTTTTTCTCTCGCTCTCTCGCTAAGTTTCACTCTCTCTCTCTCTGGCCCTTCTAGATCACCTTTTTCAGCCATGCGGCTCCCCATCTACATACTGCTGGCGGTGGCCAGCTACTGTCTGGCCGACGAGGTCGAGGAGACCACGGCCGCCACCACGAAAGAAGCAGAATTGGTGAGTTTCTCGCTTGCTCTCTCTCTCTCTCTCTCTCTCTCTCTCTCTCTAACGTTTCTACCTCTAGGTAACCCCTACCGTCCGTATCGTCCCTCCCACCATCGCCCCAACAACCACGTTGGCACCCGAAAAGAAATAGTAAGTTTTAGGGCCATGGCAGCCTAGCATTGACCATTTAGGACCTTTATTTACGATCTTTAGCCCATCTACATATATGGTTGTTGCTCCGAAGGTGGTTCGCCCCGGGCTACCGTATGCCGTCTCGGTGAATATTCTGAAGTCGCAGGAGACTGACCATATCGTTCGGTAAGTAAGCTAAGCCTAAGCCTAAGCCAGACCTAAGCCAAGCCTAATCCTAAGCCAAGCCTAGACATAAGCCGAAGCTACTTATTTTCTTTGAATCGCCACTTATTAATGATACCTTTAGAGTCGAAGTCCGTTCGGATAAGAACCAGACGATTGGGACTCGAGTCGTCAAGGACGTGAAAGTCGGCTCGCCGCAGACTGTCACCATCGCCCCACTTCCGGCTGATGCTTTGACCGGAAGTACCGGTTACAAGGTAGGGACTTTTAGCGTTTAAAGGGAGCGTTTAAAGCTATACAGCGACGAAGGATTCCCTAAAAATTGGCAGCTAGCAGAGATCATTTGACTTTAGCGCCGGAAGAGTAAGCGTATCTGTACTCCTTGAACTTTAGGTCTACGTCCGCGCCGAGACCATCGGCGGCTCGACCCTCTTTGAAGCCGAGGAAACGGTCAACTACAACTCCAAGCACATGTCCATCTTCGTGCAGACCGACAAGGCCATCTACAAGCCGGGAAGCACCGGTGGGTATATCTACCTATCCCTCTCTCTCTCGCTTTCTCAAACACAATTATATTGATTTTTAGTAAAATACCGCGCGGTGCTGATCAACCCCGACCTGACCCCGTTCAAGGATACGGTATCCCTCAAGATCATCGACCCCAGCCAGAACGTCATCCAGCAGCACGTCGGCAAGCCGCTCAACAAGGGTAGGTGGCGTGGCTTTGGCGTAGCCTTTGGCTTAGGCTCGGGCTTAAGCATAGGCTTTGGCTTGGCTTGGGCTTAGGCTTAGTGAGCTTCGTTTCAAATCATCCTCATGCCTTCTAGGCGTCTACTCTGGTGAGCTCGAGCTCGCTGCCGAGCCCCCGCTTGGCGACTGGCAGATCCAGGCCGAGAGCAAGTCCGGTGTCAAGTTCTCGTAAGTTTCTCTCTCTCGCTCTTTCTCTCTCATACTCGCTTTATCTCTCGCCTTTCAGCAAGACCTTCTCCGTCGAAAAGTACGTGCTCCCGAAGTTTGAGGTCAACATCAAGACCCCATCTTTCATCACGACTGAGGGTGACCTCGGAATTCTGGTCAACGCCAAGTAGGTGTTCAAAGGTTTCGAGAAGGGCAGTCTGGCAGGGAGCATTGAGGAATCAGGGCAGGCTAGCAGAGAGCATTTCCCTTTCCAGGTACACCTATGGCAAGGGCGTGGCCGGCAAAGCCAAGGTGCGCCTCGAGGAGCCTTACGCAAGATGGGCCTACCGTAGCCCAGTCATCGTCAACCCGGACGGCACCACCAAGGAGACGCAGCCGGAAGCGCTGCTCGAGCGTACTGTAAAGCTCGGAAATTCTGGGGAGGGGAACCGTGACTTTTACGAACAAGGAACTGAAGGACTTCCGGCTGGTTCGGGTGGGTGTTAACAAGGGAGATCCTAGGCGTAGGCTTAGGTTAGGCTTAGGCTTAGGCTTAGGCTAGGTTTAGGCTTAGGCTTAGGCTTGGGCTCAAGCTTAACTACGAGTTTTTCAGGACTGGGGCTCATCCATTCGTGTCGTCGCCATCGTCACCGAAGATTTGACGGAGATCGAGAGGAACAACACGGCTACGGTAGGTGGAGAGAGAGAGAGAGCGCGAGAGAGAGAGTTAGAGAGACGAAGAAAGAGAAATCCAAATAACTTCACGCTCTAGATGCCCGTCTACAAGGACGACACAAAACTCGAGCTGGAGAAGCAGGGCGAGTCGTTCAAGCCGGGTCTCTCCTACAACGTGGTCGTCGCCCTGAAGCTGGTCGACGACACGCCGGTGCCCGCGTCGGTCCCGAAGCGAGTACAGGTGCGTACTGTAGACGGAACGGTCTTACGTCGATTGGTATCGCCTCGGAATTTCCGTATACCTCAACTACAGTAATGCTCGGGTTATCTAGGTGACGACCGTCTACAACTACGCCTACAATCCGGAACGGACCAGCCAGCAGGAGGACAAGGAGGTACAATTGCCTAGGCTTAGGCGTAGGCTTAGGCTAGCCTAGGCTTAGGCTTAGGCTTAGGCTTAGGCTTAGGCTTAGGCTTTGGCTTAGGCTTAGGCTTAGGCATAGGCTTAGGCATAGGCTTAGGCTTAGCCTTAGGCTTAGGCTTAGGTTTAAGCGCCGGCTTGCTCTACCTACTGTACTTTTACCTTCCCAACACATTTCAAAACCTTTGGGGAACGATTTTATAGATTTGCCTTCTCGGTACCTTTAAAACGATTTCTAGGTGAAAATCGTCGACCTTGATGCCCATGGTACCACCGTACTCCAGCTGCAACCCCCGCTAAATTGCACCTCAATCCGGGTGGAGGCGCAGTACGACCGGCTCGGCAAGGACAACTTCACCAACACGCAGCTGTTCAGCTCGCTGTAAGTGTCGTGGCTTAAAATAGGCTTGAGCTTAGGCTTAGGCTCAAGCTTCGGCTTAGACTTAGGCTTCGGCTTAGGCGTATGCTTAAGCTTGGTATTGATACAAAAATCCGCATTTTCCAGCTACGTCGACTCGGCCGCCTCGCCGACCAGCAGCTTCCTGCAGCTGATCGCTGACAATGAGGGGACGGTGGATGCTGGAAAGCAACTCTCCTTCACCGTCAAGGCTACGGAGAACATTGGCGTGCTCAGCTACCAGGTACAGTCGATGATCAAAACATGGTGATCTTGGTTTTAGGTAATGTCCAAGGGGGCGGTCGTCTTGGCCAAGGAGATCCCGATGAACGCCGATCATACGACGATTACGTTTACGGCGACCAGCGAGGTAGGCTTGGGCTTGGGCTTGGGCTTAGGATTGGGCTTGGGTTTAGGCTTAGGATCGGGCTTGGGTTCAGGCTTAGGATTAGGACTGGGCTTGGGCCTAGGCTTAAAAACTTAGACAGAGCCTCCTCCAATTAATGCATCTTCAGATGGCGCCCAAATCCCAACTGCTCGTCTACGCCATCCGCCCCGCTAACAACGAGATCCTCGTCGACGCCACTGACTTCAAGGTCGCCGGATTGTTCAGGTGATTTACGTTGCGTGATCGAATGTTTTAAGCCTATTTTTTGATTATTTACCTATTGTATTTACCTATCTTTACCCGTCTATTGTATTCTGTTCAGGAATAACGTCAGCCTCGCCATCGAGCCGAACTCGGCGCAACCGGGCGAGAAGGTCAAGTTCAAGGTGGGTGTCTAGCGCTTTAATTTGTAGTCTATAGTTTGGTAAAATTCTGGATTTTGAGATACTGTAGTTCCGGGATTTTAGATTCACGCCGACCCTGATTCATACGTTGGCCTGCTCGCCGTTGATCAGAGCGTGCTGCTGCTGAAGAGCGGAAATGATATTACGCAGCAAATGGTAGGGAGAGCGAGAGAGAGAGAGAGAGAGTGAGAGAGCGAGAGAAAGCGAGAGAGATAGCTATATTTCCTATAATATTCTGCTTTTAGGTTGAGGAGGACATGGAGCAGTACGAGACCACCGGCGATAGCTACAGACCTTGGGAGGGAGCTTTCCGAGCCCGCCGGTACGGTAGTATCCAGATTTATAGAGATGGGCGTCTAATGTAGCTTTTCGGACTTTATGCATGTTTTCAGGTCGATCTGGTACCCGTGGTGGGGAATCGGAGGCAAGGACGCGGCCAGCATTTTCAAGGTGGGGATTTTTGGGTAGAAAGGGCTTAGGTTCTGCTTAGGCTTGGGCCCAGGCTTGGCTTGGGCTTGGCGTAGGTTTAGGCTTGGCTTGAGCATAGACTTAGGCTTAGGCTTAGGCTTAGGCTTAGGCTTAGGCTTAGGCTTAGGCTTAGGTTAGGCTTAAGCTTAGGCTTAGGCTTAGGCTTAGGCTTAGGCTAGGCGCAGGCTTGGCTTAGGCTTGGCTTAAGCTTGGCTTAGGCTTGGCTTAGGCTTGGCTTAAGCTTTGACTTAGGCTTAAGATGAGGCTTAGGAGTGGTCCGCGATCTCGGTCCGTTTCTGCTTAGGCTTAGGCTTAAGTTTAGGCTTAGGCCTGGCTTACGATGCTTAGGCCTTAAGGTCTAAAATTGATTATTCCAGAACGCTGGCCTGGTGGTGCTCACCGATGCCTATTTACACGAAGAGCCGATGCCACCAAGTGAGTCCCTTTGAGCCGGATAATGCCGTGCAGTGTTTGAGAGGAAAATCGGCATTTCTAACAGCTTTTTGAAAACTAAAAATCTTAACAAAAAATTATTTTTGTAAAAAGTTTTCCGCCCGATTTTCCTCTCTTTCCGAGTTTTTTTTGTTCGCACCCCGCACACAGCACCTGGTGGCGGTACCGCAAAAACTCTATATTTTTGGTATTTTTCGGGTTCTGTGGATTTGATATTTATGAAATTAGCTTAAGTCTAAAACTGTAAAAATTGTTTTGCTGCCTTTTAGATGGATATTTTTGCATTTTCTATGTTTTATAAAGTCCACAAAACCCAGAAAAACTTGGCTATCAAATTAACAATTTTTTCTGTTGCATCCCAGAGGCATGAAGTGCTCGTTTGGTTGACTAAACTAATTGTCTTATTATTTTTCATTTTTTCTCGTTCTCTCTCTCTCCCTCTTTCTCTCTCTCTCTCTCGCTCTCTCTCTCTCTCGCTCTCTATCTCTCTCTCTCTCCGTCTTTCTTCTCTCGCTTTCTGTCTCTGCTGTAGGTGACAAAAAAAAATTAAAATTTACTTAAAAGCCCCCCGCTTCCAAGATACCGTACACCCCACCTACCGTACCCCTGGCCGTTGCCCACAAAATCACGCGATTTTCGAAGCTGGCTTAGGCTCAGGCTCAGGCTAAGGCTTAGGCTTAGGCTTAGGCTTAGGCTTAGGCTTAGGCTTAGGCTTAGGCTTAGGCTTCGGCTTCGGCTTAGGCTTAGGCTTAGGCTTAGGCTTAGGCTTAGGCTTAGGCTTAGGCTTAAGCTTAAGTTATGCTTAAGCTTAGGCTTAGGCTTGGCTTAGGCTTAGGCCTAGGCTTAGGCTTATGCTAGGCTTAGAGGCTTCTGAATGGCTTTGCTACAACGCGCTTCACCTACCGTACCCCGCGACGGTCCCTCTCCACCCCAATTTCAGTCAAATACATGATGCGCACGGCGCTCGGTGGCGCCGCAGCGGGCGGCGGCGTCAATTTCTCGAACCTGGGCATCATTTCGAGCACGGCGCCCGCGCCGCGAGCCGCGACGCCTCCGGCGCGCGTCACGGCTCCCCCGCAGCTGCGCAACAAATTCCCGGAGACGTGGCTTTTTGAGGCGCTGGAAAAGTTGGTTTTGGGACGCGGAGGGTAATTTGCAAAATAGGGAGAAAACGGAAAAATGACAATTGTAATTGCGGAATCGCAGGCGATTACGGTAATCTAATTTGCATCTTTTTTACAACTAAAAGTCTTTGAAAAGCTAAAGGCTACAGTGGCTTATCTTTGAATCCATCGTATACAGATTTTGTGATCTAGTTTCTTCTTTTTTCCGCCTCCTTCCGCTTTTCATTCATTCGACATTCTCGAAATTTCAAAAATTTGCATAATTCGATTTTTCGGTACTTTCAGGTTACGGTAGCACCATTTTACAAACTACTTTTTCAGGCCTTTTTGGGGTGCCTTTTCACACTTTTAGTCTGCAGATTTTTCGGATACGGTGGCACCTGTTTGTCCTTTTCCTAGCGTAATTGATTCCCAATTTCGCGTCTAGTGCCGATGGTCATGTTCGCCCCGGCGGCCGGCGCGTTTTTCCGGGATGCCGGAGGCGCGGAGGCCGCCTCCGGATTTGCCGCCAGCGCTCCCGCGCCGGTGGCCATCGTCGTGCGGTCGCACTTCCCCGAGTCGTTCGCCTGGATTGAGGCGGAAACAAGGTTCGGCGGTGGTTTAAAGGGGTAGTGACAGCTTAGGTGGTATAAGATATGGCTTAGGCTTAAGCTTAGACTTAAGCTTATGCTTAGGCAGGCTTAGGCTTAGGTCGGGCTTGGGGTTAGGCTTAGGCTTCGGCTTGGTTTTCCTGCCGTTTTCTGACGATTTAATTATGCAAATTTCAAGTTCAATGTACTATTTCTGACTTCTACCCTCTCAACTACCATATCGTACTTCCAATTTCCTCAGTTTACCCCCGCATGCGTGGCGTTGCGTACTGTGTTGTCATGCGGAATGGATAATTTCCCCAAAAACACAAATGGGTACGGTATTCAGGTGTATTATAATTTCTCTCCTCCCCGAATGCCAAGCACGCAAAGTACGATAAATCCTCTCCCGGGCACCAAAGCGCACCGATTTTTTAGTTACATTCTAGAACCTTTACAATACCCTCTCGGGAGTTAAAGGCCCATTGAAGGCTGGAAAGCTATGGATTTTGCCCTCTCTTTAGTGCTGCGCTTCAAAGCCATCGAAGCAGCGGGTGTTGCGCCTGTTGCATTTGCCGCAGGGGCCGGCGGTGATCAGCTACTAGAGGAGGGGCCGAGAACCCGCTCCAATTTCCCCGAATCGTTCGCCTGGATTGAGGAGGAAACGGAGTAAGAAATCAGAAAAATTAGAGGGTACCTTAAGCGTAATTCATTGCCTAATTTGTATGAAAATACGGTAATTTAATTGGATTAATTTTTTGCGGTAAAAGACAATTTTTTTTGCAGTTTTTATCGTTAAAAATACGCCTTTTTTTGATTTAACGTATGCCCCGATACCGTACCCCGCCTCAACTACTGAAGTTCTCGAATTTTTTTTACGATTTGCTGTGGCTTGGCTCGCCGTCCTTGTCGAAATTTTTCGAGAAAATTGATTTTTTGATTTTGTTGATTTTTATATTTCTTCAAAAGCATTATGCAATTTATTGCTCGCTATTTCATCGTACCATACAGTTCCAGTATGATTTTAGACAAATTTAAGTCGAAAAATTCAAATTTATTTGGTCCAGTTTCGCTACGCTTCGACTTCCTTGACGCGTTGTATATGCTAATTTCTGGCCGTTTGCCTGCGCTACCGTACTCCGAACGACCGCTTTCACTACCGTACTATTTCTTCAATTTACATACAGCCAATTAGCAGCTTTTACGATTAAGTTCTACATCGCCGGTTGATGATGGTGATGGACAGTGATATTGCGCCGGTGCCGGAAATGCTCATGAGGGAGCCCGCGGAAGGCCTCATGCTCAAATCGGCGGACGTGAAGCCGCCGCCCTTTTCAAAGCCACAACCGCAGCCGATCTTGCTACGCTCCAAATTCCCGGAGAGCTGGATTTGGGAGGGGTTGAAGAGGTGCGAGCTGGCCTTTATCCGGACCGGGAACCGATTACGACATTAAATCAACTTAAGGCATCCGTAACTAATTACGCGATGCAAATCTATTAAAAATTGACAATTTTTTTGGAATTCCGCCAAAATTCAAACCGATTGTGTGGTAGAATTTTTAGCTGCAGTTGGTGGGCGGATAAGCTATTAAAACAGCAATATTGTCCTATTCTCAAAGCCAAAATCCTATCTCGAGCTCAAAAATGTTTCCTTTCGTTGCTCGTACTCTCTGTGCACACGGCTTTTCATTCTCGGGATGCTCATTTCCTTTTTTTCCAGTGTCCGGCCGTTTGCCTGAGTTGCGCTCTGTGAAACTGAGACTGTGAAATTTCACTTGTACATCCCGCTCTTAAGTGCTCAATCGACACTTGATGCGGGGCGGTGACGACGGGCCGGGTCCATTTTTGCTTTCTCTTGATGCTACACCGCTGGTGGAGGAGGATGGAGCAGGAACCTCACAAGAGTTCCCGGAGCCTCAGCCGCAGCCGATTTTGCTCCGCTCCAAATTCCCGGAGAGCTGGATTTGGGAGGGGTTGCAGAGGTTCGCGCTAGGCTTTTGAATTTTATGACGGTTAACTGATTACGCTGCGAAATTCGAATCCTAGCCCTTCAAGTAGCCTTCCCAAGTGCTGGCGAAGCACACGGTAACTCCAGCTAGTTAAAAATTGGACAAAAATTGCACAGTTGATGTACTGTAGCCACGTCTACATAGCTACCGTAGGCCCTGAAAATGTACGAATACACCTAATTACGTACTGTAGTGTAGAAAGTACTCCTTCTGCTTTTGTGCGATTAATTTTTTCTAACCGCTCACCTCCTAAAAAGCCGCCGCCATCACTTACGTATAGTTTTTTTGGGGGTTCACGCTATGCCAATGTTCCAAAATCTCAGTTCCGGTTCGTAAAACGTGCCCGAGCTACCGTAGCCTTTAGTCTGGATGGATGGGATGATGGCGAAATCGGGTCCGCTGATGTTCGCAATGCCGGTCGCCGCGCCGGGCGCCGCTTTTGGTGGAGCTGCAGCAGCTGAGCTTGAGCCGAAAACGAGATCAAACTTCCCGGAATCCTGGGTCTGGGACCTCGTGAATAGGTGCTTAATGGAGCTTTAAAGGGACTGGGAAGGCGACGCGAATCGTAGCAATTCATGGGATTTATTCAAAGGAATTCTGAACGTCTTGAAGTTCCTCGCCTATCATTCGACGTATCCCAAGAAATTCTGAGATTTTCCGGAATGCTGGGCCTCGGACTAGTCCCAATCGATTACGACATTCAATTCTAAAGGCTTTTTGAACGCCTTGAACTTCGCGTTTCCGATTTCTTACCCTCCTCGATCTCGCTCTGCCGGCAGATTACGGAGTTTAAACTGGCTCCCTTGGGAGCCTAGGCTTCGGCGTAGGCTTAGGCTTAGTTTAGGCTTAGGCTTAGGCTTAGGCATGGCCGACTCATCATCCAAAGCAATTTTTTCACAAGTTTTTCACTAATTCCGCACCGCATTTTGGTGAGGCACACATTTTTTGGGCTTGAAGGCACTAGCTAGCTTTTAATCCCAATAAGCTAGACAAGCGCGTTAAGCTAGATAAACTACTTAAGCTGAATAAGCTCGCTAAGCTGCGCAAGCTCGTCAAGCCCGTCATTTAGTCGGCTTGCTGGAGTATGAGGTTGCATCGGTCATGCCAGCGCTCGCGGGCCCGCCTGGCGAAGAGGCAAAGCTTCGCCAGAATTTCCCAGAGTCCTGGGCATGGGAAATGGTGAATAGGTATTTTAAAGGGGCAGGGAAGGCAAAATCAAGTTAAGAATTTACTGCCGTAACTGATTACGATGGCCAATTTTTACAATCTGGCCATTTCAAAATTTCGGCGTTCGTAAATTTGGCATTATGAATTTCGATATCCTGATAGTCTTAAAAAATTTTGTTCTTGCTCCTTTTGGACGCTCCTCCTCCTCTCTGAATTTCCGCTACACTACTCTCTCATCACTTACGATTTTTTTGCGATTAGTTATATATATTTCGCACAGCTTTTTGGTGAGGCAAGCACAGACTCGGCTTCGATTTTTCAGCTTACTGTGCCTAGGCTTCATCGACTTAAGGGCTTCAGTTGGCTTTGTTTTTGGCTTAAAACGACAGCCCGGCTTACTAAGCCAAATAAGCTTGATAAGCTTCTGAAGCCCGTCATTTAGTCATGGTAATGGATTTCGTAATGGAAGAGGCAGCTATGCCGGCTCCTGCGGGTCCGGCGGGTGAGGAGCCAAAGCTTCGCACGAATTTCCCGGAGTCGTGGGCATGGGAAATGCTCAATAGGTACTTTAACGGGATTGGGAAGGCAAAGTATATAAAAATATACTGCCGCGACCGATTACGACATGTAAATCAATTAAACGAAAAGTCTCAGCTTATTTGGATGACCAAATAGATCTCTCTCTTTTTCTGTCGCTCTCTCTCGCTTTCTCTCTTGCTTTCTCGCACTCTCTCTCTACCAGTCTCTCCTCTCTCTCACTCGCTTTCTCTCACTCTCTCTCTCTCTCTCTCGAATTGCCAATGCATTACGATGTGATACCTGAAGATCACAAACCGATTTGTTTATTATAATACGCTTTCATTCACTTCACCCCTTTTTATGGGTGTCACCGCTGGCATCGATTATTTTTGCATATTTCCGGGTTTTGTTCGCGCTATCGTACGCCTACCGTACTCTTACCGTGCCCCCTTTAGTGGTGCTGAACGACGAGGGGATCGTTATGGCCATGGACGCCGAAAGCGCTGCTGGCGCAGGGGCGTATGACAGCGCGGAAGCGCCAAAAACTCGCTCTAACTTCCCGGAATCTTGGGCCTGGGAATTTTTGCCGAGGTACTGTAGTTGAATTCTGAAGGCTTAGGCTTAGGCCCAGGCCTAAGATTAGCCCTAGGCCTGGCTTAGGCTTAAGCTTGGGTTTTAGGCTTAGGCTTAGGCTTCGCTTAGGTTTAGGCGCAGACTTCGCTTGTCCTAGGCTTCGGCTTTGGCTTAGGTAGGCTTAGGCTTAGGCATGGGCTTGTCCTGCGAGTTGCTCATATCCACTTTTGTAGTTTTATTGACTTGTCCAAGTCCTTGCATCTTGTTCCGATGTGCTACTCTTGCCGCTCTGAACCAACTGTCATTTTCCCAGTTTTCCAATGCCGATTTTCTTATTTTTTTGCATTTTTTTTTCCTATATTTGAAGCCCTTTTGCATCTTGTTCCTCAAGCCTCCCTTGGCTTTTTGCCAATTTCCACCACAAAACCGTCGTAAAGCACGGTTTAGAAAGAGGGTGCTACTGGGAGCCACGCCACCCTTGGTGCATCAGGCAGCGCCAACGAGGACGCTATTCCCATCGCCACGGACCGGAAGTGTTCCGATCAATGCCTCATACTCATTCTCTCGCTCATCGCGAGGAGAGCTATAACTACGTACATCGCTCTGCACAACGACAACCGACGCTTCATCGGGCCAATCACGCTTCGCGAGCGCAAAAAGTCGTCCCGAAGCTTCGAAAAGTGTTTCCACATACCTGGATTTCGGAAGGATTCCTGGCTAGGTGATTCGGGGTTTTAAAGGATCTCTGTTAGCCTGCCGTTTCCTAAAGAATCTCCGCTAGTGTGCCTCCCTTCCTCTAATGATCTCTGCTAGCCTCCCTCTCGTTTTTAGAACTATTCCGCTCACCTGAATTTATCTGACGTTGCTGATCGCTCAAAACGGCTGTACTTGTCGAAGTCATTGTGCCTGTGGACCTACTGCTGTGGAAAGGACACACTTTAGTACATCCCTGTCGACGCTTCCGGGAATGGTGTCTCAGACTCCGCCCTGCCAGCCTGATGCCAAGAGTTGGAGGGCGACTTAGGACGGGAAGGCTTCGGAATTCACTGCAACGACTTTCTGCTCATTCTATCCAAGCTCCTGCTCCTGAATTACGGCCTAAAAAGTCTGAGTCGAGGATTCGCAAACACTTCCCGAACACTTGGATTTATCCGGAATTTTTAGCTAGGTAAAAGCTCTTTCTCTCGCTTTCTCTCTCTCTCTCTCTCTCTCTCTCTCTCTCTCCCTCCCCCCCCCCCCCCTCTCTCTCTCTCTCCCCCCCCCCCCCCCCCCCCCCCCCCCCCCTCCCCCCCCCCCCCCCCCCCTCTCTCTCCTCTGTCCAGCCTCTTTCACTCACAATTTCCGTTAGAATCCCCGGGTGCACGTTTAATTCCCCACTAGAAAAACTTAGTTTAGGTTTAGGTCTAGGCTTAGGCTTAGGCTTCGACATGGGCTTAGGCTTAGGTTTAGGCAAAGCCTTACCCCCTCCTTGCAGGGGTTCACTATTTCCGGAAGATGAAACTCGGAGGTGCGCCGATGCCGGTGGCCGCGTTCGCTCGTGCTTTGCCGGGAGTGCCCGGTCCTCCTCCTCAACCCCCACCAAAAGCCGCCCCGGCTACCGTAACCCCGCAGCTGCGGACTAAGTTTCCCGAGTCGTGGATATGGGCTGAGCTAAATAGGTGAATCCGTTTAATAGGAGTTGCTGGCATCAGCAAAAATCTGGCCATCTGATCGTGGTTTCAAACTACAAGCAACAACTCTTTACATATTCGCGTGCATGGGTGTACTTTGTAGTCCAACGTTTGCTACTTGGAATCTCTCATCGATTTGCTGCTTCTCATTCAACTACGATTTCTGATCCCCTACAACCCGACCCAGCTACCGTATTCCACGCCCCCGGTATTCCAGTGTACTACTACAGAAGCGTAGAGCTGGATGGGGCCCCATTGCCGACAGACGCTTCTGGGCATTACGCGATGGTGCTAGACAGCCCGCCAGTGGAAATGGACGTGCAGGGCTTCAGTAGTCAGCAGCAGGAGATCCGCCCGGTTCTGAGGACTAAATTCCCGGAAACCTGGGTCAACGAGGGCATCATCAGGTGCATAGTATCGTGGCGTAGCTACCGTACTTAGTACGCAACTGTACGGGCTGTTAAAACCGCTTATGATCGAAAAAAACAACGCAAAACCGCCGTCCATTGAATTTGCAAGGATTTCAAGGCAAGGAATTTTGCCGAAACTTGAGTGAGCGTAGCATTTTAGGCTTACGGTTGGGTTTGGGCTTAGGCTTTGGCTTAGGTTAGGCTTAGGTTTAGGCTTAGGTTTAGCTTCGGCTTGGGCCTAGGCTTAGGCTAAGGCTTCGGCTTCGTTTATACTTTGTGATGGTTCTCGCAAACTAGCAAAGATGAGGGCGAACGTATTTAGTACACGACTGTACGCGACACTATCTTACGTAAGTCTTCCTCTCCCTCCCTCTCCCTCTCCCTCTCTCTCTCTCTCCCTCACTCTATCTCTCTCGCTTTCTCTCTCTCTCGCTCTCGCTCTCTCGCTCCTGCTCGTGTTGAGTCGTTTGCTCACTCCCAGTCCGTTTGACGTCCCGATTAAGGCATCTTCCAATATTTTGCTCAATTTTCAAGTGGTCCTCCCCCAACTTGCCTACGCCGACTTTGGCGCCGATCTCCGGATCTCTCCCGATCGTCTACCATCTCCCAAAATCCGCAAATTTTTCCCTGAGACTTGGCTACATTTGGAGACCGTAACGAGGTGATAAAATTGAGAAGAAAAAACTTAAAAAATTTATTTTTATAGGTATTGATTACATTAATGAAATAGGCAATAGAAGTTAAGTTAGTTAAAGTGAGTTTAAACAACCTTAAAATCGACAAACCTAATTTGCATATTTTAGCACGAGCGGGGAAACTATCTACGAGGCTACTGCTCCGGATACGATCACCTCTTGGGTTGCGTCGGCTTTTGCCGTCAACGACGTCTCGGGGTTGGGGATTGCACCGGAAACGGCTAAGGTAGGGGAGAGCGAGCTTAAGCTAGGCTAAGGGGGGGGCGAGGCATTGGCTTAGGCTCAAGCTTAGGCTTAGCTTAGATTTACGACAAAACCCCATTCCAGCTCCGCGTCTTCCGCCCGTTCTTCATCCGCCTGAACCTGCCCTACTCGGTGAAACGGGGCGAAAAGTTCGCGCTCCAAATCCTGGTGTTCAACTACATGGAAAACGAGCAGGACGTGACGGTGACGCTGAAGAACGACAACGACGAGTTCGTGTTCCTCAACAAGGACGGCAGCGTCAATACGGAGTAAGTTGGGTGCGGGCTTGGCCTAGGCTTAGGCTTAGACTTAGGCTTATGCTTATGCTTATGCTTAGGCTTAGACTTAGGCTTAGGATTAGGCTTAGGCTTAGGCTTAGTCTAATGCTTAGGCTTAGGCTTAGGCTTAGGCTTAGGCTGCTTAGGCTTAGGCTTAGGCTTAGGCTTAGGCTTAGGCTTAGGCTTAGGCTTACACTTAGGCTGAGCTAAGGCTTGGTAAAAACCAAGACAAATCTCTGACTTTTCAGGAAGTCCACCTCCGCCAACACGCGACTTGTCTCCGTCGCTGGCGGCGGCTCCTCCAAGGCCGTCTACTTCCCGATCGAGCCGCGCAAGATCGGCGACCTGAAGCTGCACGTCGTCGCGACGGGCAGTAACGCTGGAGATGCGGTCGAAATGCCGTTGAAGGTGGAACCGGAGGGCTACCGGGTCAACCGGAACGAGCCGGTTGTCTTCGACCTGAGCAGCCAGCCCAGCCAGGAGAAGACCATCCCCCTGAAGTTCCCCGCCGATGCCGTGGAGGGCAGCCAGAAGGCGCGAGTGGATATTATTGGTGAGAGCGGGTTAGCAGAGAGTATTGGGGGAATGGAAGGGGCAGGCTAGCAGAGTTTCTTTTTTCAGAGAGATTTGGTTATATTTTTTTTTTTTTTTTTTTTTTTTTTTTTTTTTTGTTTTTTTGTTTTGGGAAAAAGTAAACCGTAGCCCAGAGATCTTTAGGGAAATTTCGGAGGCAAACTGGCAGACTGGGAATTTTGACGCCGATTCTACCACCCATTTCCAGGCGACGTCATGGGACCAATGCTGTCCAACCTCGAGAAACTCGTCCAGATGCCGTCGGGATGTGGGGAGCAGAACATGCTCAACTTCGTGCCGAACATCGTCGTCATGAAGTACCTGAAGGGGTCCAATAAGAACGAGCCGACGATGGAGGGCAAGGCGTTGAAGTATATGGAGACTGGATACCAGAGGGAGCTGAACTATCGGTGAGGAGAGCGAGAGAGAGCGAGAGAGAGCGAGAGAGAGAGAGAGAGAGAGAGCGAGAGAGAGACAGAAACTAGCAAAAATCATTTGTTTCAGCCGCTCCGACAACTCCTACTCGGCCTTCGGCAACACCGACGAGCACGGCTCGACTTGGCTGACCGCCTTCGTCGTCCGCTCCTTCGCCCAGGCCAAGGAGTACATCTTCATCGACAAGCAGGTCATCGCCAGCAGCGTCGCCTACCTGAATGGCGTACAGACGGTAAGCTAACTGGGCTTAGGTTTAGGCTTAGGCTTCGGCTTAGGCATAGGCTTAATACCAGCTTAGCGTAAACCTTTCAGGAGAGCGGAACGTTCAACGACCACGGCAAGGTGCTGCACAAGGACATGATGGGTGGAAGCCTGTCTGGCGGAGTCGCACTCACCGCCTACGTCGCCTTATCCCTTCTGGAGAATGGGGTATGCCGGTTCTCTCTCTCTCGCTCCCTCGCTCCCTCTCTCTCTCTCTCTAACTCTTTCCTTTCAGGACCGAAACCAGAAGGCCATCGAATACCTCGAGACTTCTCTTCCAAACATCGAAAGCGACGTGTACGCATTGGCGGTGACGTCGTACGCGCTGAAGTTGGCCGGCTCGCCAAAGGCCGCAGCCGCTTTTGCCGCCCTGGATAAGCTGAAGGTCGAGGGAACCGGTAAGGTCTTGGAATTTTGCTGACGCTATCCCTTTAAAATGGCCTCGGCCGGCTAGCATAGTTCATTGGGGAATGAACGAACGGCAAGCTAGCAGAGACGACTTTGGGATTCATATAAAATCTAATTTTTCAGATGGAACTGTGCATTGGGAGGCTCGCCCGACCAATCCTGGAGAAAAATCTGACTTCTACCAGCCGCCGCCGGTAGATGTTGAAGTGACGTCGTACGCCTTGCTGACGGTGATGCTGGATGGAGATACGAGCAAGGTGAGAGAGAGAGCGAGAGAGAGAGAGAGAGAGAGAGAGAACAGAGAGAGAGAGAGAAAGAGAGAGAGAGAGAAGAGAGAGAGAGAGAGAGAGAGCCGAAGGTCCGTGAAAATCGTATCGAAAATTACCTGTCCTTCTTCAGGGTCTCCCCATCGTCCGCTGGCTGATCTCGAAGCGCAACGAGCTGGGCGGGTATTCCAGCACTCAAGTAAGTAATCTCCAACTCGCTAACTTGACCAGAAACCGTGAACTTGCTGAACTTGACGCGAAACTCCACTAATTTAGGATACCGTCGTCGCCCTCCAAGCAATGGGCGCCTATGCCGCAAAGGCCAGCTCCGACCTGTCGAGCGTCAACGTGAAGATCATCAGCGGAGCCGACAACCACGCGTTCAACGTGTCGGCGGCGAACAGCATCGTGCTGCAGAGCTACGAGCTGAGCGAGCTGGACAAGGAGATCACGCTCCAGGCGACTGGAAATGGCATGGCTTTTGCTCAGGTAGTGGGTTGCTTAGGCTTCGCGTAGGCTTAGGCTTAGGCTGAACGGCTTGAATTTCTCGGGAATGGCACATAGGTATGCACAATTCAAACTTTTCAGGTGGCATATTGGTACAACCGCAACGCGCAACGCGACAACACCCCCTTCTACTGCACCAAGGACCTGAAGGAGATCCACGGTGGAAATAGGATGCAGTTGGAGCTGTGCTGCAAGTGGGCTCAGAGAGGAGGAGAGAGGGAGAGAGAGAGAACGAGAAAGGGAGATAGATAAAGAGAGAGAGAGAGAGAGAGAGAGAGAGAGAGAGGCCTAGGCTCAGGCTCATGAGCTCAACTTATCCGCTCTGTTCAGCTACACCAAGACCGGCAAGTCGAACATGGCCCTGGCGGAAGTGCAAGCACTAACCGGCTACAAATTCGACGAGGAGGAGGCGAATCTCCTGACAAGTGAGTTTTTAAGCTCATGCTCATGCTCCATCCTAATTTCCAGACATCAAAGACCTGCAGCGCGTCGAGCTCGACAAGGACGACACCCAAGTCAACATCTATTTTGATGCGGTAAGCGATTACTTGGGTGTTTAAAGGGGCTGGGAAGGCTGGCCACACTACCGTATAAAATCCCTTTTTTTTAGCTGGACGCCGACCCGATCTGCTTGAGCCTGTATTCGGATATGGTGTACCACGTGTCGGACCAGAAGCCTGCCCAGCTCGCCCTTTATGATTATTATGATCCGGCTGAGCAGGTAGTGGATTTTCGCAAAGACCTCTGCTAGCCTGCCCTTTCCTAAAGAATCTCTGCTAGCCTGCCCTTTCCTAAAGAATCTCTGCTAGCCTGTCCTTTCCTAAAGAATATCTGCTAGCTTGCCCTTGCCTTGAGTGTCTCTGCTAGCCTGCCCTTTCCCAAAGAATCTCTGCTAGCCTGCCCTCCCCCCCTCCCCCCTCCTTCCCCTCCCCCCCCCTTTTTGCCCAAAAGAACCCAGTTAAAGAAATTTGAAAACCGTTTTCCAGCTCAAAACCTCGTACTCCCCGGTGCAGAAGCGTTCCCTACAAGACAGCTGCCCTGACTGCTGGCCGGCCGCCGACTCCGCGTCTGCTCTAAGAGGTCTCGAACCGTCGAATGGCGTGGCTACCGTAACCCCAGCAGCTGCCGTAACCCTCGCGTCCATTGTTGCCCTCGTTGTCCGCCGGTTGTTCTGATTTGTAGTCTTACTGTAGTCGTGTAGTCTTACCGTAACCCTACCGTATCTTGCTGTAGCCTACCGTAGTTCTACGTTGTCTTACGGTAGTCCTACCGTAACCCTATCGTATCTTACCGTAGCCTACCGTAGGCAACCGTAGACATGCCTTAATGCTATCGTAAGCCATCGTACGTTGCCGTAGTCGTACCGTATTCTACCGTACCTTACTGTAGCCTTAATGCAGCCTACCGTATCTTACGGTATCATAACGTAGCATTACGGAATCCTACCGTATCCTCCGGTTGTGTTACTGTAGTTTTACTGTAACTTACCCTAATCCCGCACGAACAGACGTTACTTAACCCACCAAATTACGCCCCGTGTCCTGCGCTCAAAAATACTGTAGTGTCCGAATTTCCGTAATTTGCATATTTACATAATTTGCCTAATTTTCATACTTACCTAATTTAATTATTTTCCAAACAAATTGTGATAGCCTATACAAATAGTAAAAACTTTTCTCCGCCCCTAATTTGCATGGCATTCCAAAAATTCCCTATTTTTTAATGTATAGTTTGTAACGTAGAAAATATACTACGCCCCACTACCACTCATCACAGTTACGGTATTATAACATTTTGATAATTTTGTATGGTTTGATGCTAATTTTGTCGCTTTTTTTACACGTTTTGCCTGCGTTCACTTTGCGTCCTCGCTACGGGCTTTTCCTTAAATTTACATATGGATTTTGGGAGCGTTTCTGGGTTGCCGATACCTTTAAAATACCGGAAAAATCCGCCCAAATAAAAAAATATTTTAAAGGGTCGCGAAAGTCGAAAAATACTTGAAAGATTCAAATTTCGGATTTTCGGATTTAAGAGCAAAAAATAGCTTTTTAAAGGCACCGAAAAGCCAAAAAAACTGTTTACAAAATTTATACCGTAAATTTTCAAGGTTTTCTCGACTTGATGGTGCCTTTAAAATACTGTAGGATCCGTAATAAGGGAAAAACGATTTTTTAAGGGCTCCGCAACCCAAAAAACCCATAAAAATTCCTGTACTGCTCCAACTCGTCGTCCCCGCCTCCAATCGTGTGCTCATTCATCCCATTTGTAATTGTCATTTGTGTCTGTGCTTTTGAAATATTTGCATTTTATTTTTTCTGATTTTTTTTGCTGAATTTGACGGTCCGCGCTAACGATTTGTGTTGGTTGCGCTGAATAAAGTTTATATTTCATTTATTTTTATGTAAAAACACTTGAAATTAATATTACATATATTGCATGCAAATTAGTGATTTTAACTTGCATTTTTTAAATTACTCGTTTTTTGTACTCAAAACGCTACAATTTAAAATCGGATTTTAGCATAGATTTTATAGAAAGTTTTCTTGCTTTAATTTTGCATTTCTAGCTAGTTAAAAAAGCTAATTTAGGACCGCTTTAAATTCGAATTTAATTTTGATTTTTTAGCGCAAACTTCAACGTGGTATTTAAAAAAAAAATAGATTTTTCACAATAAACGAAATTCAACGTTTTTAGCACGCCGTTGAAGCTACGCTACGCTCCAAATGACGACGACGAATTTCAACGCGTAATGGATTCTTATTAAATTCTTTGTATTGTTATCGTTGTAACTTATCCTTGCATATACACATTTTGATGCTTTAATAAATAAATTCCCGCCGAAAATTGAAAGATCAAAATGCCGAAAAATACAAAAAAACCAAAAAAGGACATTTTGGGCGGGGCTCAATTTCATCCGAGGAGAGCGAGGTGAAAAGCTAGCCCGGGGAGATTGAAAATCCAATTTTTGAGGTAGTGCCAAGGAAAGGAGAAGGAGGCTTGGAATTGGCCGTTTCGAGGATTTGTCAGGGATCCCCGGAGCCGAAGCGGAAATTTTTAGCTGGTCCGATTGTCAGTTCCTAAAAGTTCTCTGCTAGCCTGCCCTTTCCTAAAGAATCTCTGCTAGCCTGCCCTTTCCTAAAGAATCTCTGCTAGCCTGCCCCTTCCTAAAGAATCTCTGCTAGCCTGCCCTTTCCTAAAGAATCTCTGCTAGCCTGCCCTTTCCTAAAGAATCTCTGCTAGCCTGCCCCTTCCTAAAGAATCTCTGCTAGCCTGCCCTTTCCTAAAGAATCTCTGCTAGCCTGCCCTTTCCTAAAGAATCTCTGCTAGCCTGCCCCTTCCTAAAGATTCTCTGCTAGCCTGCCCTTTCCTAAAGAATCTCTGCTAGCCTGCCCTTTCCTAAAGAATCTCTGCTAGCCTGCCCTTTCCTAAAGATTCTCTGCTAGCCTGCCCCTTCCTAAAGATTCTCTGCTAGCCTGCCCTTTCCTAAAGAATCTCTGCTAGCCTGCCCTTTCCTAAAGAATCTCTGCTAGCCTGCCCTTTCCTAAAGAATCTCTGCTAGCCTGCCCCTTCCTAAAGATTCTCTGCTAGCCTGCCCTTTCCTAAAGAATCTCTGCTAGCCTGCCCTTTCCTAAAGAATCTCTGCTAGCCTGCCCCTTCCTAAAGATTCTCTGCTAGCCTGCCCTTTCCTAAAGAATCTCTGCTAGCCTGCCCTTTCCTAAAGAATCTCTGCTAGCCTGCCCCTTCCTAAAGATTCTCTGCTAGCCTGCCCTTTCCTAAAGAATCTCTGCTAGCCTGCCCTTTCCTAAAGAATCTCTGCTAGCCTGCCCCTTCCTAAAGATTCTCTGCTAGCCTGCCCTTTCCTAAAGAATCTCTGCTAGCCTGCCCTTTCCTAAAGAATCTCTGCTAGCCTGCCCCTTCCTAAAGATTCTCTGCTAGCCTGCCCTTTCCTAAAGATTCTCTGCTAGCCTGCCCTTTCATAAAGAATCGCTGCTAGTCTTCCCTCCTCATTTCCCAAATGATCTCCGCTCGCTTGCTCACGCCCGCCCAAAAATTATCTTTGCTAGCCTGCTGCATTCAATTTCGAATTATCTCAAATGCTTATGCCAATGCAGGCCTGCTAGCCGAGAACTTTGGAGCAAAGTCGGCTGAAACGCACAAGGCAAGCTAGCAAAGAGCATTTGCGGAGAATCGCTTACTGTTGCATTTTTAAAGCTTCCCCCTGCGGGACTTTCACTCCTCCTTATCTCGAAATTTCCCTCCAACGCAACCCAGGGTAGTCTGGCCATGAAATTGGGCTGCTTTAGCGGCGACAGCTTCTGAATTTTTCGACTTTTTGCGCTTTTAAGCTGTTTAGGCTTAAGCTCAAACCTTAGGCTTAGGCTTCGCTTTGACTTCGGCTTGACATAGGTTTAAACTTGGCTTGGATTGGGCTGAGATTTAGGCTCAGGCTTGAGCTTAAGCTGCTTCAAAATGGGGAAAATTTTTGGAAGTTATTATTTTTACGAATGAAGCTAACACAATCTTCATAAGCCTCGGGCTTACTTTGATTTCTTGGCCTGCTTTTTGCTTATCTTTGCCATTCTTTTCTGTCTCGGCTTCTCCTCCCGGCCCCCTATCAATCCCAACGGCAAACAGAGACCGACCCGGATCGGGTGGGCTGCTGATGGCCATCGGAATTGATTCGAGTTGGTTGGTATATCTGCTTAGGCTTAGGCTTAGGCTTAGGCTTAGGCTTAGGCTTAGCTTAGGCTTAGGCTTAAGCTTACTCTTAAGCTTTGGCTTTGATTTGATAGGTTAGTCTTAGGCTTAGGCTTATCTTCGGTATGACTTAGCTCAGGCTTGGACTTGGGCTTCGGACTCAAGGCCATTTTTTACCCTACATTCCTCTTGACATTCCCAGGCCCCACCCCACTCCTTTGAATGCAGAAAAACATTGTCCCTCCGATCGGGCGAGGGTGAATCGCGTGGGAAAGCGCGTCGCCTATACGTTTTTCGACTGTTTTACGTTTTCCTAGGCGGCCAGGGCTCGTTTAGGAATCGGCGGGGGCCTAGCGAAGATCCTTTAGGAAAGGGCAAGCTAGCAGAGATCATTTTGGAATTGGAACGATCTAAACAATGGGCCACATCCCGGAAGCCCCTCCCATCATTTTTGCAGCCGGTTGATTGATGTGGCCACATGTGAGAGGGGGGTTTTTGAGGAAGCGGCCCGGCCCTGTGTCATTGTGGTATTTTACCCTGGTATGCCCCAGGTGGTTTTTACCAGTCTCTCCCTCTCTCGCGCTCTCTCTCGCGCTCTCTCACCCTCTCTCACCCTTTCTCGCTCTCTCTCTCTCTCTCTCGCCCAATAACACCTGCAGCCACTGTCCATCTGCCCGTCTGGTACTGGTTAACTTGCGCTATGCCCCAATCGGACCTTTGGGCCTGGTTTTAAAGGAACTAGGAACTGAATAGTTGTTCTTGATCTATTTATCTGTTTCTGTCTCTCTCTCTCTCCCTCTCGCTCTCTCTCTGTCCTCTCTTTCTATCACTATCGCGCTCTCTCTCTGTTGCTCTCTTGCTTTCGGTCTCGCTATCTCTCTCCATCTCTCTCTCTCTCCATCTCTCTCTATGTGTCTCTCTCTCTCTTGCACTCTCCCCCTTTCTCGCTCTCTCTCTCTCTCTCTCTCTCTCTCTCTCTCTCTCTACCTCTCTCGCCTCTAGCCCATTTTTTAGTGCTCTGTCAATTTGAGGAGGCAATTGATTCTCGTATTCTGGTAACCGGATACCCGCCCGCAGCTCGATTTGTTGTTTGTATCCGCGTGGAATCATTCAATTCACGACTGGTTCAGTCCTAAATTATCTCTGCTTGCCTACCACCTATTTTCAAAATTTCTCTGCTAGCCTGCCTCTCAATTCCTACAAGATCTCTGCTAGCCTGCCTGTAGTTAGCTAGCTTGTCTCTCCATTCCTGAAGAATCTCGGCTAGCCCACCTCTTCTATCCACAAATGTTTTCTATTGGCGCATCTCAAATTCCTAAATTATCTCTGCTAGCTTACCTCCAGTTTTGATGTAATTTTTGCTCCCGTTTTCTGCTCTCTTTCTCCCACGTCATGCCCCCCATCCCGACCCGGTCCTCTAATTAAGGCCCGTAATTGACTCGACGGCATGGCCATGGCCTGGCGGCCATCAAAAGCCTCGTTTCCAACACGAGGCCATAGGGAGGGTTGCGTTATTTTAGGTGTTTTTGCGTTGTAAAATGTAGGCTTAGCTCTCTATCTCTATCTAAAATGTACGCTTAGCTTAGGCTTAGCTTAGGCCTAGGTTGATGCTTAGGCTTGGTTTAGGCTTAAGCTTAGCTTAGACTTAGGCTTAGACTAAGATTACGCTTAGCTTAGGCTTAGGCTTAGGCTTAGGCTTAGGCTTAGGCTTAGGCTTAGGCTTAGCTTAGGCTTAGGCTTAGGCTGAGGCTTGGCTTAGCCTTAGCTTAGGATTAGCGTAGACTTAGCTTAGGCTTAGGCTTAGGATTAGGCTTAGGCTTAGCTTAGGCTTAGGCTTAGGCTTAGACTTAGCTTAGGCTTGGCTTATAGTTTAGACTTCAGTTTAGGCTTATTAGACTTATGCTTAGGCTTAGCTTAGGCTTGGGTTTAGGCTTAGGCTTAGCTTAAAATTAGGCTTGATTTAAGCGTAGACTTGGGCTTAGATTTAGGTTACGCTTAGCTTAGGCTTAGATTTAGGCTTAGGCTTATGCTTAAGTTGATGAATCACTTCAAGGCCTCTGTAACGTCCGTATTTTATCACCGTGAGCCCCGCACACCTCTTCGATACAAATTTATGCAAATCGCCTAATACCTTCCCGTGCTTCAGTGGTCTCCCTGTTCCCGGTTTCCGATTTATTACCTCACCCCCGGAAACGAATCGATTTTTGGCAACACGTTGAACTGGCCAAGACGGTCGGATTGACCACGTTTTTGTACTTATTTCTCTTCTGGCTGATCGAATCCACAAGAAACGATAACTTCACTAACCCTTTAAAGGCAGAAAAGCCCGGTGATAGGCCGTTCAACTGAATTTTTAACATCACCGGCCCCTTAAGAGTCGTAAAAATGAGCAATTTTTAGTGGATTTTCAACCTTAAAAACGTTTAATACTGTAGAAAACTGAGGGGAACGTGGTTTAATCAAGCTACGAACTCCTGTTGTTTGCCTAGGCCATGTTCAGCTAAAAAAAGCACTAAATTCGAGCTATTCCCCGCCCCCGCCCCGATTAGTATTCTCATTCGATTAATTCGGGGAGAGGGGGGCTTGTCCACCTCTCAGCTCTAGTTTCCATTTCCGGTCGCTTTTCAGCGAGTTCCGGATTAGATTTTTCTTGGGGTTCTTGTCCCAAATTTTTAGCTTAAATTCCCAAATGGCCTCTGCTAGCCGACCCTAACAATTCCCAAAAGACCTCCGCTCGCTACCCCGGTCCCTAGCTAGCCTGCCCTTTCCTAAAGGATCTCTGCTAGCCTGCCCTTTCCTAAAGAATTTCTGCTAGCCTGCCCCGAATCATTCTCAAATGAACTCTGCTAACCATTCCTTATAGTTTTCAATCGTATTTTTTCTAGCGGTCCAAAAAGCCATAGATGGGCTCAGACTGAGGCTTAGGCTCAGGCTTAAGCTTCGGCTTAGGTTTATGCTTTTCTTTGTTTAACTTCTCGAAATTTCAAATGCCACCTCTTTGCCTATGCAAATCTATTCTTTCAGGTCCACCGGGTGCGGAGCCTCAGCCGTCTGGGCCCTCCACTCTCTCCCCACTCTCTCTCGCTCTCTCTCTCCCTTAGGGTGGAGCCGAGAGAGTGTGGCCAGCTGCTTCTGCTGTGGCCCACATCCGATATATCTGCCTCTCTCTAAAAAGAGAGAAAGAGCAAAGAGGGTCCCAGCTGGAATCCCCTGAGGGCACGGGCCCCCAGCCAGCCGTCTGGCAATGGGCCAATTGTCGAAGGTGGGCCGCGACTGGGTCGGCGCCGCCCAGTCCGCCTTTACGGTCGGTTTTTTTATTATTCCTTGATTTAATTTACTTAATTTTATTTATGCTAATTTTTGAGGTACCTTTGCTTATTTTCCTCTTTTTTTTCTACGATCTCTCACCCTAAAGCTTTCAAAAAACTCTGTAAAAACAGAGGAAAAGATATATCGTTGTTGTTCTAAATTTTTATAAATAGCATAATTTAATTTATGCGAATTTTATAGCATTTTAATTAATGCGATCCGAGTTTTAAATTATCTCTGCCTTACAAAGAACTCATTGTAAGGGAATGAATCTCTAGCAGGGATCTTTGAATATTGCTAAATTTAAACTAAAATAAACCAAAAAAAAATTGATGGATTTAACCAGAATTTGAAAAAGCAAATTTTTTTATCAGAAATAGGGGGCTCTTTGAGAGGTCCCTCATCCCTTTCAGCCGATCATAAGTGTTTTCAATTTCTTCTCTCTCTCTCTCTCTCTCTCTCTCTCTCTCTCTCTCTCTCTCTCAATTTCTCGATCGTTCCACTTTTTCAAAATCGAACACCCCGCTATCAACGGGCCGACACTTTGATCGGCTTATTTCGCTCTTTTGAGGCCTTTATGAAGCCTGGAAGGTTGGAAATTTATAGCCTGCACATTTTACCTTTTTCTCTTTCTCTCGCTCTTTCGCTGTCTCTCTCTCTCGCTTTCACTGGCTCTCTCTCTCTCTCTCTCTCTCTCTCTGGTTGATTATTTGCCCTTTGGCCTGAAGAGTATTGAGATGGTGCTCTGGTAGGGATAAGATCGGCATCTATGATCTTCTCTCTCTCTCTCGCTCTCTCTCTCTCTCTCTCTCTCCCTCTCTCCTGCCCACCACAATCGATGACATGCCCTTGAAGGCGGAAATAAATGGCGGGGAGGAATCATCAAGACAGTTCGCGAGAGAGCGGGAGAGAGAGAGAGACAGACAGACCTCGACAGCCTATGACAAATCGACAAACAGACAGAGAAAATGGCTAGCACGAGCTCGGGAACGGTCTTTTGAGCGGCCTTTTCATAAATCCCCTTTTGAATCCCTGCCTCCTCCCCATTTTCAAAAGCTTCGAAAAAGCCGTATTTTTGCTATTTTTAAAAAGCCACATTTTTCTGGATATTTTATGCAAATTACCGTATTTGTTTCCAGGTGGCAGCCCATATGCCCTCGGCCCTGACGGCCGAGCAAATCCAGGAACTATTCGAACGCGTCGAGAATGGGGTCGACGTCTCCGGGGATTATGCGGCCACCGCCGAAATTGGCAGTCTGCGGAATCAGGTGGGAATTTAGACTTGCTGAGGCCTTTAAAATTTTTCCCCCAATGATCTCTGCTAGCCTGCCTCCTGGATTCCTAAATGCCCTTTGCTAGCCTGCCCGCTGTGCTACGCCCGCCTAAAGAATCTCTACTAGCCTGCCCTTTCCTAAAGAATCTCTGCTAGCTTGCCCTTTCCTCAATAATCTCTGCTATCCTGCCCTTTCCTCAAGAATGTCTGCTAGCCTGCCCTTTCCCAAAGAATCTCTGCTAGCCTGCCCTTTCCCAAAGAATCTCTGCTAGCCTGCCATAGCTTTTCAGCTTCTTAAAACCCTATTTTCCAGAATGGCGAAAGCCTCCTCCAAGTCGCCGCCAAGGCCAACAACCAGCCAGTGCTTCGGTTTATCCTGCCAGAGAGCGATCTCGACGATACGGACAACGTGAGTTGATGCTCAAATTTGACCACCTGCTGTCATGCTCGCTTTAAAAACACTAACTTCAGGATGGCTGGAGTGCGCTGTTGATCTCGGCATTTCACGGACACCCCGAGATCGTCTCTTTGTTGGTCGATTCGGGATGCGCCGTGGATCAGCCGGATTTGGTGGGTTACGGTAGAATGGCTGGGGATACGGTAATTTTTTAGATGGGCTGGACACCGCTGATGTGGGCCGTCTACAAGAATCAACCGCAAATTCTGGAATTTCTGCTCTCACATCGGGCCCACGTGAATTTAATCGACGAAGAAGACGGGTTAACACCGTTGATAGTAGCGGCCGGAAGAGGATTTACGGATTGCGTGAGAATCCTGATCGGCCATGATGCGCAGGTGGGCTTAGCTTAGTCTTAGGCTTAGGCTTAGGCTTAGGCTTAGGCTTAGGCTTAGGCTTAGGCTTAGGCTTAGGCTTAGGCTTAGGCTTAGGCTTAGGCTTAGGCATAGGCTTAGCTTAGGCTTAGGCTTAGGCTTAGCTTCTGCTTAGCTTAGGCTTAGCTTAGGCTCCGGCTTAACAGACTTTAATCTTTTTTTCAGGTTTTTCTAACCCTTTAACTTCAGGTGAACGCCTGCGACAAGTTCGGCTCGACGGCGTTGATCTGGGCGGCGCGGAAGGGCCACCTGCCCGTTGTACAAATTTTACTAAACGCCGGTGCCGAGGTGGACGCCGTTGGAATGGTAACCATTTTTCGAAATTGCTAAATGCTCCCAATTACAGTACTCCTCCACGGCGTTGATGCTGGCTACGCGGGGCAACTATTTGCACGTGGTCGACCTGTTGTTGTCGAGGGATCCGAATGTTAATGTTGTTGATCAGGTAGGCTAAGGGTTAGGCTTGGCTTAGGCTTAGGCTTAGACTTACGATAGCATTCCAATTTTTGAAATTTCCAGAATGGCCTTTCCGCCCTGTCGATCGCCGCCAAGGAGGGATATGCTGATATCTGCGATTCGTTGATAAAATGCGGGGCTTTTGTGAACCAGGTGGAAAGGTGAGAAAGAGAGAGCGAGAGAGAGAGCGAGAGAGAGAGAGAGAGAGAGAGAGAGAGAGAGAGAGGAGAGATAGCGAGCGATAGAGAGATAGATAGAGAAAGAGCTAGAGAAAGAGCTAGAGAGAGAGCGAGAGAAAGAGAGAGAGAGGGAGAGAGAAAGAGAGAGCGAGAGATAGAGAGATAGCGAGAGAAAGAGAGAAAGAGAGAGACAGAGAGAGAGAGAGAAAGAGAGAGACAGAGAGAGAGAGAAAGAGAGACAGAAAGACATTAATGCGCCAATTTTTCCAGATACGGAAACTGGATCCTGTCGAGTGCTGTCCGCTCCGGAAACGCAAACATCGTCCGGATGCTCCTTGAAAAATATGCGGATATTAACTGCCAAGACTCGGATGGCCGCTCCCCGCTTCATCTCGCCATCGACAAGTCGTTCATGGACATTGTACTGATTTTGCTGGAAAAACGGCCGAATTTGGAGCTGAAAAATCGGGTATGTTTTCTCTTCTCGCTCCCTCTCTCTTTCTCTCGCTCTCTCTCTCTCTCGCTCTCTCGCTGTCTCTTTCGCCTTCTCTCTCTCCCACTTCTAAAATTTTGCGTTACAGGAAGGCGACACACCATTAATGCGAGCGGTGAAGAGCCGACACGTCGCGCTGTGTGACCTGCTCGTCAAGGCCGGCGCGAAGATCAGCGCCACCGACAGGGAGGGGGACAACGCACTACATTTGGCATTACGGTAAGTGGCACGAGTTTGCGATAGTATGAAATTGTGGCGGAAAAGCGAGAGAAAGCGAGAGAGAGCCAGAGAAAGCCAGAGAGAGAGAGAGAGAGAGAGAGAGAGAGAGAGCGAGAGCGGGAGTGAGAGTGAGAGATCTATCCATTCAGATTTATGCAAATTACAGAGCCCGTAGCAAACGCCTCGCTACCGTCCTCCTCACCAACCCACAGGACTCCCGGTTACTGTACCGGCCGAATAAATTGGGTATGAATTTCTCTTATTTTTTATTAAACTGATTTGATGCTAATTAAGCTAATTATGCTAATTACAGGCCAAACCCCCTATTCGATCGATCAGCAAAATCCGCAACCGATTCTACCCCTGATTTTCGGGCCCGTCGACGCGGAGCAGCATTTAGACGCCATGCTAGGATACGATATTTATAGGTGGAATTTTGATGTTTAATATAATAATTGATAATTAACATAATTTAAATAACTAAATAATTGTGAAATTTTATTGTTATATTTTTCCTATTTTTAGCAACGTAATAGCCGATATTTTGTGCGAACCAAATCTTCAACTGCCGCTTACGCTGGGTATGTAAATATTTACCTATTTTTTCGTTTTGTATATTTTGAGAAATAAGCACATTTTTCCTTTTTTAAGGCCTCTACGCAAAGTGGGGAACCGGCAAGTCCGTACTGCTCCAAAAGGTCAAGGAGTCGATGAACGCGTTTTCGAGGAGTTGGCTCGATGGCATGCAACTACGGTAAGATTAGGCGTAGGCTTCGGCGTATGCTTGGGCTTAGGCTTGGCTTAGGCTTGGGCTTGGGCCTGGCTTAAGCTTAGGCTTGAAACTCCCGAATTTCAGATGGTCCATGCCCGTGCTCTTCTACCTCCTCCTCGCCGTCACCGTCATCACCCTCTCCGTGGCAACCGTAATCTCCATCTTTGGCAGTGTTCATCTCCTGATTACCGTCGGCGTCGTCGGGCTGGTCATCTACCTGGTCTTGGGCGGATTCTACTGTAGGTTTTTCCTCAATGTAACTGGAAAATAGGCATAGCAATTGCTTTAAAGGGACAGTGACAGCCAGGCTTGGCTTCGGATTGGGCCTAGGCTTAGCTTTGCAATTCTCACATTTTCAGGCGTCACCTACTACGGTAGCGAGCACAAGATGTGGGTGCGGAGTATGATCCTTGGCGAGCACGTGGCTAGGATTTTCGCTCATGTTAGGTAAGTAGGGTTACTGTAGCTGTAGCGCTTTTTAGGTTACTTTTCAATGTTATAATGCTGTACGCACCGCAACACTCTGAAAAAGATATGGTATCGAATCCGGTGTGCTTTTTATTTGCGGATTATCATCGATTGTCGTCTTTTGGAGGGGAACAGGTAGGTATTGATCTCTCCCGCTCTCTCCCCTCTCTCTCTCTCTCTCTCTCTCTCTCTCTCTCTCTCACTCTATCTCTCTCTCTATATCTCTGTTCAAATTTAGGCGCTCGCAAAAATTGTGGTGACCCTCTTCGAGGCGGCCGAGAATCACTTTGGCGTGCTGCCAGTGAGAATCTACTGCGCGCTGAGGGGGAACACCTATTACAGTAAGTTTTGAACGTGCTCTAGCAGAGATTCTTTAGGAAAAGGCAGGCTAGCAGAGATCCCGGGCTCCCGGAAAACCTCCGCTTATTGTCCCTTCTTCCAGATACCCTGCAGGGCTCCCTCCGACGCCATTGTGGAGTACCAGTCGTACTCCTTGCTGCCGCCATCATCCTCTCCCTCATACTGTTCGAAAGCTTCATGATCGCGTGGCTCTTCTCGGGCCGGACGTTCAACACCGGGTCGAGGTGAGCAGGCTTAAAGGGAGCATGACATCAAAAGCCATCGAAAGCTGAGATTTACGACTTTAAAGGGATCGTGACACCCCCAAAACCAGCTTTTCAGCCATTTTTTTCGACACTTAATCAGGTGACACACCATTTTTGTCCCGGTTTCCGGTTTTTGGGCACTTTAAAGGGAGCGTGACAGGATGATTTTTACCCCTTTGACTTGGCGATTTCAGCAGCTACCTCTTCGTGTCGTTGGTGTTCCTCGTCTTCCTGATCCTGATGTTGGCCTACCCGCTCTTTGTGGCCGTACGCCATGGTACTCAGAACGTGCCGAAGGGGAGGATCAACTCGGCCGCCCGGGCCATGCACAAGCTGAGATTTGAGGGTGAGTGGTGTGCTGAGGCCGAGGCTTAGCTTAGGCTTCGGCTGAAGCTGATGTTTAGCCTCATCTTCACGCTCATCCACACTTTTCCAGGCCTGATGCACAAGCTCCAGACTGAGGTCGACCTCCTTGCTGACATGATCCGCTCCCTCGACGCGTTCACCAACAGCCAGACGCGACTTGTCGTGGTACGTATCTTTCTCTCTCTCTCTCTCTATGTCTCTCTCTCGCTCTCTCTCTCTCTCTCTCTCTCTCTCTCTCTCTCTCTCGCATTCTCGCTCTCTATCAACTCCTTCGCCTTCTAGGTAGTAGACGGACTCGACAACTGCGAGCAGGAGAAGATGGTGACCACGCTGGACTCGTTGGAGTTGTTGTTCTCGGCGAGAAAGAATCGGCCCTTTGTCGTGGTCATCGCCGTCGATCCGCACATCATCATCTCGGCGATGAATCACAATATTCATAGGTGGGGATGGAGGGCGAGCTAGCAGAGATTTTTGAGGAAATTAGCTAGGCAGGCTAGCAGAGATTCTTGAACTTGGAATCCATGAACCTCCCATCCATGTTTTTTAGTGCCCTCTCCGGAACCGACCTGACCGGTGCCGACTACCTGAAGAACATCGTCAACATGCCCTTCTTCCTGCACAACTCGGCCCTGCGCCAGTTGCAGAACAGGCTGCGCGAGAAGCGGGAGACGTACCTCGACTGGAAGGAGCGCTTCCGGCGCCAGGACACCTTCCATGGGTCCCACCTATCGTTGAGCGGGGCTGGCCTCGGGAATTCGACAGCCAGGAAGCAGACCCAGTCGGCGCTCATCGTCGGTGAGTACAGCCCACCGGGTGATTGTCATATCTCCTAACTACATATCTCCTAAAATATTATGTTTTAGGAGGGAAGTAAAATATTATATTTATATTATATTAGATCTCGACAAAAAAGGGAAGCAAGGTTTTTAGGATAAATGATGTTTAGGAAAAATTAATTTAGGAAAAATGAATATAACGCAAAATTAGGTAATTGACCTCAAACTTGGGTAATTGAACCGGGCGCCGCCGTGCTTTCCCTCGATCCCCCACTCGCCCCCCACCTGGTCCTCTCCCAGGATAGATAGGTCAGAGCAGATATGACTTTTAGCTTCTCTAATCTTGGTTAGGCTTAGGCTTAGGCTTAGGCTTAGGCTTAGGCTTAGGCTTAGGCTTAGGCTTAGGCTTAGGCTTAGGCTTAGGCTTAGGCTTAGGCTTAGGCTTAGGCTTAGGCTTAGGCTTAGGCTTAGGCTTAGGCTTAGGCTTAGGCTTAGGCTTAGGCTTAGGCTTAGGCTTAGGCTTAGGCTTAGGCTTAGGCTTAGGCTTAGGAGATATGGCATTAGGAGAGATGACCGAAAATCCATCCCACGTACTCCATGAGGTCGTTTTTAGGCACAAGATCGGTCGGCGAGGCACTAATGGCTGACGATTACTTCTCGGCGATCAACCCTCGAGCCATGCGACGTATCATTAATGCGTTGACGCTGACGGGGCGTCTCCTGAGAGCTTTTGAGATCGAGTTCTCGTGGCTGGCGCTTGGGCATTGGGTAGGTTTTCTAAGTGGTCTCTGCTAGCCTGCCCTTTCCTAAAGAATCGCTGCTAGCTTACCCAATCTTAAATCAATTCTGTTACCTTACCCTCAGATTCCTAAATGACAGTTGCTGGCCTGCCCACTAATTCCTCAAAAATCGCTGCCACCTTGCCTTCCAACCCTGAACGTCTAGGTGTCGATGCTCGAACAATGGCCGGTGCGTATGTGCTGGCTAATCGAGTACGCGGTCGAATCAAACAACGGCTCGAAGGGCCTGTTCGACATCTACCTGCAGCTCCGTGCCCATCTACCAAAGAACGATCCGCTCTTCACGCAGGACCGCAACCCCGAGAACTTCGAGTCGTTTCTGCGAGCCGTTGGAGCGGAAGGGGTACCAGAGCAGCTGACCGTCAGCCTCGTCAAGCGCTTCGTCCCTTGCACCTCGAATTTGGACCCGTATCTCCGGAAGTTGATCAGAGGTGAGGAGTTTTTGGGTTTAAAGGGACTTGGAAGGCTGAGTTTTGGTTACTGTAGCCCTCTAGAAATCCAAAATTTTCAGAAAAGCGAGAAGGCGTCGAACAGCCCCAACTTGAGGAGCGGCCGCTTGGGTTGAGCGGCACGGCCAAGCATCTCTTTACGGTGGGCATTCGAGGTTAAGCTTGGGTTAGGCTGAGGCTTGGCTCGCGCTTAGGCTTAGGCTTGGGTTAGGCTTAGGCTTAAGCTTAGGCTAAGGTCTGGGTTTGGGCTTCGGCTTGAGCTTGGGCTTAGGCTTAGGCTTAGGCTTAGCTTATTCTTCGGTCGGACTTAGGCGGTTCAGGCTTTGCTTAGACTTAAGTTTGGCTTAGGCTTAGGCGTAGAAAGTGAGAGAGAACTACCTCAACCTCATTTTTTCAGGACGATAAGACCTGGCAAATGGTAGAAGTCCCCCTGGCCGAGATGCGCATCGACCAACTCGTCCAGCTAATCAAACGGCTCGACATCCCGCAGAAACGGTAATTTTTTCGGGCTACCGTACTCATTTTTAGGCTACCGTAATCCATCTAAACCTCAAAATTACATTTAGGCTTGACACCCTGATCGAGAAATTCCGGGCGTTGAACCTGAACGGCTTGGTGTTGTCGACGTGTCAGCTGCCGGAGCTGCAGGCGGCATTAGACGTGGGTTTTTAGGGGTGGATGACGGAAATTTTTGGGGAAGGGTGGGGCAAGCTGGCAGAGACTCTTTAGGAAAGGGCAGGCTAGCAGAGATTCTTTAGTAATTGAGGGAAAGGAGAGGCAAGCTAGCAGAGACCCTTTGGGAATTCAAAGGGGCAAACTAGCAGCGATCATTTAAGAATTTTCAACCCAATTTTTCAGCTTCCACTCGGCGATTGGACCCTGCTCCGACTCCTAATCGAGACGCTTCGCGGCTTCGGGCTGAACGTGCCCGGGATGAGGCAGGAGAAGCGGATGACCACCATTTTGCACGTGAGTCACCATCCCTTTAAAACGACAATTTGTTTAAATACCTTTAAATTAATTTTAGAGGTCCATAACCCAGACCACGGAGGTACGGTATATACAGTAGCCCCCGTCTCCTGCCTTTAAAATATGTATTTTTAGACGTAATTATTTCTATATTTTATCATATTTATTTTTTGCCCACCGGGAGTAGACGTAACCTGTTTAAAAATGCAACGTTTTCCAATTTTTTTTTGGATTTAGGAAGAGGAGGAGGAGGACGAGGATGACCGGGAGCCCGAGCTCGAGCTGGACAGCCGGATGCCGAGCCGAAGGAATAGCTGGAGTCGCGTGAGTTCAGATACCGTTAAACGGGAGTCATGCTTAGGCTCAGGCTCAGGCTTAGGCTTAGGCTTAGGCTTAGGCTTAGCTTAAGCTTAGGCTTTGACCTAAACGTAGGCTTAGGCTTGGGCTTAGGCTCAGGCTTAGGCTTACTGTAAAGTGTTTTTACTCAAGTTGGAGTTTCGGTTCGGGACCAAGTGCATCTCGTGCAGAATTTTTTGCTGATTCCGAATCCGTTTTCCAAAGTTGCTGCGGACTTTTATTTAAAAAGTCATTTTTGGTGCAAATTGGGCTTGAAAAAGCCAAAAACTCGGATTCTAGCCCACTATTCCTTCCTTGGCTCGATCTGTCGAGGGGCCCTGAAGTACGCGCTCACAGCTCCCTTCCCAATTGGCACCATGGTGCATTGGCAAAGTACTCGCTTGCCAAGCGCAGGGCGGCGTTTCGGATCCCCGCCCTGCAACTTTCTTTTGCTTTTTGCATAAAAAATCTAATTTTTTATAAAAAAGCTTGTTTCGACTTTAAGATGCTTGTCCAGCCAATCTCTAGCCAATTTCGAAGTGGAAATTGATTAGGAAAATCGAAAACGATAACGGTTCCTCGATTTTGGTGCAACACACCACCATAATTGCTGTATAACTTTCAAAACAAAAGTCCGCAGCAAATTTGGAAAACCGTTTCGGAATCAGCGGAAAATTCTGCACAAGATGTATTTGGTCCCGAATCGAAACTCCAACTTGAGTAAAAACACTTTACAGTTAGACTTAGGCATAGGCTTAGGCTCTACAAGATGCCGCACTACCTTTAAAACAGGATTAGGACATTTTAAAGGGGCTCGGAAGGCAAAAAAAAATTGCTATTTCTCCATTTCAGGCCCCAAGCATCGTCGCCTCGACCCCGCTGCCAAACATGAGCCGGAAACGGGCGACCGTCTCCGAGCTGGCCACCCAGATGACAGTAGATGGACAGCACGACGCATTAATGGCCAGTCTGGCGGATATGGACGCGCAGGAGACGGAGGGTGAGTAGAAAGAGGCGGATCTTCGGGTCATCATCCATTTAAATCCTGAAAAGTAACGGTAGCACTGGGAAAGCTTAGGTTTAGGCTTAGGTTTAGGATTCGGCTTAGGTTGAGGCTGGGCTTAGGCTTAGGCTTAGGCTTAGGAGTAAGCTCTAGACGAGGGTGCAGCTAAAAATAATAATATTGCAGGCGCTCTCACCCCTGCGCTTACGATAGCTAATATTTCCGCCTATTTTCTAGGCGACCTGCCGAATGGGAGTGTATCGGGAGGAGCATCAGGTCAATATGACGATGATGGAGCCGCAACCTCACTCGATTCGACAGAAAGCCGATTCGGAAGCCGGGAGAATCTGCTGGATCTTGACGATGAGCACGAGCCAATGTTGAGCAGGCAACCGAGCGCTAGGTTGGAGAATTTGGGGTTTAGAGAGTGAGAGAGAGAGGGGGGAGAGAGGGAAGGAGAGAGAAAGAGAGAGACACAGAGAGAGAGACAGCGCGGAGAGAGACAGCGCGCAGAAAGAAATCGAGAGAGAGCGAGAGAGAGAGATAGAGAGAGAGAGAGAGATAGAGAGAGAGAAAGAGGAGATAGAGAGGGGGAGAGAGAGCGAGAGTGAGAAAGAGAGAGAGGGAGAGCGAGAGAGAGGGAAAGACAGAGAACTCGGTAGAACTCCCCTATTCCTTTTCTTTCACAATTTCTGTTGTGGCCAAGCTTTTCAAACCTGGCTTCTTAAAAATTGGCTTTTGAAACCTACCGTAATTTTACTAAAAATGCCTTAAATTTTGGCTATATTTGTTAATAATCCCAATCAAAAAGAGCTTATTAAAACAGCTTTTAAACACCTTATGCTAATTAGGAGTCGACTGCCCAGCGTTTCCCGGGCGGCCATGCGGTAATATTCCCGTTTTTGGCGTTTTTGCATTAATTTATGTATATAAAAACTGCATGCGTACTCCGGCGTACTCCCGCGTACTACTTACGTTCACTGGAATGCCGCGTACTACCGCTTTGATTTATGAAAACTGACGTGTGGATTAATGGCCAAAAATAACGTGTAAAACCCGCTTTTTGCCGTGCGATTTTCACAGCTACCGTATTCAACCAATTGTTTTATTAATTTAACTTTCCCCGTAATCGAATTTTGTAAAATGTCATTTGGAATGTCTTGGAAAAAGCCTTGTTTTTTTATTTAAAAATTTTCAGAGGCGAAATGATGCGCAGCCTGCGGAACAACAGCGTCCACACGGATGGGGGCGGAATTTCGCCCCGCGAAGCGGGGAGTCGCACTTCTTCATTTATGGGTAAGTTCCGCAAAGAGTCTCTGCTAGCCTACCTTCGATTCCAAAAGATCTCTGCTAGGTTGCCCAATTCCTAAAAGGTCTTTGCTGGCCTGCCTCTGAATCCTTAAATTATTCTTGCGAGCCTGACTTACCATTCGTAAATAATTTTTGCTAGGGTAGACTTAGGCTTGAGCTTAGGCTTAGGCTTAGGCTTAGGCTTAGTCTTAGGCTTAGGCTTAGGCTTAGGCTTAGGCTTAGGCTTCGTCTTAGGCTTAGGCTTAGGTTTAGGCTTAGGCTTAGGCTTAGTCTTAGGCTTAGGCTTAGGCTTAGGTTTAGGCTTAGGCTTAGGTTTAGGTTTAGGCTTAGGCTTAGGCTTAGGCTTAGGCTTAGGTTTAGGCTGAGCTTAGGCTTCAGGCTTATGCTTGGCTTAGGTTTAGGCTTGGGCTTACGCTGCTGGCTCAGGCTAATAAGGCTTAGGTTTAGGCTTCAGGCTCAGGCTTAGGCTTAGACTTCTACTAGAGGTTGGGAGTAGTTTTATCGACTCAAATCCTCCCTGCTAGCCTGCCCCCATTTCTAGGCGGTCTTAACGGGATGTTCTCCTCATTTTTCTCAAACAGTAAGTTCGCACTCAAACGAGCATTCGGGCTTCGCATTCCATTCCGGAAATGGCTTCCACGTTTTCGTGTTTTGTCCCGAATACGCGACTGTCCTCTTTGCGTATAGTGACTGCCGAAAAATTCCGATTTTTAGGCAGCCAAGGCTCGGTGGAGAACGAGAACCAACTGACGGTGCTCCGACGTCAAGAACAGCAGGAAAGGGAGCCGTTGCAAGGACTATTTAGACCCGACGACCCGCCCGTGTAGCGCAGTGGGTAGAGTAGTGGGCAGCAGGGTTTGGGGTCCGAGTTCGAGTCCTGGCCGGGGCATTGTTTTGCTTTTAGGTTGAAGCTTAGGCCTGGCTTAGGCTTGGCTTAGGCTTAGCTTAGGCTTGGCTTAGGCTTGGTTTAGACTTGGGTTAGGCATGGCTTAGGCTTATGCTTAGGCTTAAGCTTAGGCTTGGCTTGGCTTAGGCTTATGCTTAGGCTTCTCTTGAGCTTGGCATAGGTTAAATTTGGCTCAAAATTTCGAACTCGAGCGCCAAAATCTCGTAGCATCTTCAGACTTTTGATAGCAAGCTTAATTCCTCCATTTTTATTGTTTGTTTTTGCCTTTTTTTTGAATATTGTAGCCTGGGTAGCTCTCATGCAATCAAATTATGCTAATTATATTTTATGTAAATTTATGCAAATCTCACCCTCAATTTTTCTAGCTCATCTGAAACACATTCCGCTCCCCCACAAGATGATGACCAAATGTTAAGGTTTTAACTAATGTAGTTTGTATGAATTCCCGGCCCGAAAATACGAGTCAATTTGTTTGGTAACCCCTTTTGTTTTTATTTTTGAGCTTAGGCTCAGGCTTAGGCTTGGCTTAACTTAGGCTTAGGCCTGGCTTAGGCTTAGGCTTGGCTTAGACTTAGGCTTGGCTTAGGCTTAGATAAGCTTAAGCTTAGCTTAGGCTTGGTTTAGGCTTAGGCTTAGGCTTAGGCTTAAGCTTAAGCTTAGGCTTAGGCTTAGGCTTAGGCTTAGGCTTAGGCTTAGGCTTAGGCTTAAGCTTAGGCTTAGGCTTAGGCTTAGGCTTAGGCTTAGGCTTAGGCTTAGGCTTATCTTCCTGGCCCAATACCCTAAATTTAATTTATATAGACGCAAATTCATAGCCATCACGCATTAATAGGAGCTTCAATTTCTCATTTCCAAAATCCAGGTCCTGCTCCCCTCCACAAATAATTCCATGTCGTAATCAAATCCAGATTTCAACTTTCCGTTTTTCCGATTTTCGAAGAATTTGCATAGATTTCTAGGCCTCGCGAAGACATTGTGATACCCTCAGAATCCATGGTGTGTGTTTGCCCGTGCAATAAATTGAATGCCTTACTGAATAATTGTCAAGAAAAACGAAAATCGAAAAATCAATAAAATCAACGCTAGGTTAAACGATTACGCTATGAAAATCGAGGCCTAGTGAAAGAGGGCGACGAGGAGGAAGAGGGCAGGGAGGAGGAGCATCAATGGCTGAGTGGGGGCAGAGTTGCAGCCATCTTTGTCCTTGCACTGGTTCGAGATGCGGGTGATGCCGAGGGAGCCCTGGAAACTTTAGCGTGAGCAGGAGCGAGATAGAGCGAGAGAATTAGCGAGAGAGAGGGAGAGAGAGCGAGAGGGAGAGAGAGCGAGAGGGAGATAGAGGGAGAGAGCCAGAAAGAGACAGGGAGAGCGAGAGAGACAGCGAGAGAGCCAGAGACAGAGAGGGAAAGGCAGAGGGTGTGTGTTAGAGAGAGATAGTTAGCGAGATAGAAAGAGAGAGACAGAGAGAGAGAGAGCGAGAGATATAGAGGAAAGTAAAGAAAACCCATCGCCTACCTTGCTCTGCTTGTTGCTGACGTCGCGGCCCGTGTAGGCGCACTCCCTAAAAATTCACGTTTCAATTCCGATCCACAAATGGTCACTGCTAGCTTGCCCTTCTCCTCACCTGAACATTGTGTGCTCATCATAGACCCATTGATCGATCTTCCGGCACCCAACAACAAGCTTCTCCTGGCCGTTCACCTTGATCGGGGGGCAATCTAAGAATTTTGGGTTTTATGCTTTAGGCTGGGGCTTAGGTTTAGGCTTAGACTTCGGCTTAGGCTTAGTATTAGGCTTAAGCTTAGGTATAGGCTTAGGCAGAGGCTTAGGCTTAGAACTACTGAGAACTTCGAGTAATTTTCCTCCATTTCTTAGCCGTGCTACGTCAAATTTGGCGCTTATCAGCGCTGCCTGGCCACGAACAGCTCGTTAAACGCAGAATAAACTCTCCAGAGTACGGGTTTCTACCCGAAAAACTGGTTTAAATTCAGAAACTAGTCGTTTTATAGAGAATTTAAGTAGTATTCGTTTTGAAATAGATTTAATGGATGCTAAAGGCAAAGTTAAGTTAAGAAAAAAGAACATAATCGCGTTGTCGCGCCAAACTTTTTTAATAAGAGTTCCAGGCGTCGATTTTGAATTTTTAATCCTATAATAAACTTTTTAAGGCCTATCAGACTACAACCGAAATTCCTACCAATCAAATAACGTGCATAGTTGTCGTCGCAGTGCGGGTCGAAGCTCGAGCAATTGTAGCACTTCCGGCCCAGCGCCACAGTCGAGAGAACCGCCAAAAATAGACAAAGCTGCAGGGTTCGGCTCATTTCCTGGAGTTTAAATTACAGAAAAAACGTGCAAAAAAATGCGCTCTGAGCAAAAAAAAGAAAAGAAAAATATTTTCCGCTTTTTCGACACGGTGTCAGATCAAAAAAAAAATCAGAAAAGGGCCAATTTTTTCGAGCTAGGGTTAGTAATGTAATAGAAAGTCTTTTAATCGTGTTTTCCGTAAAATTTAACAATTTTTAAAGTGGCAAACTATCTAAGAAACCCAAAAAAAAAGTTAAAAACTGACATTTTGGTGGAAAATCGACCATTTTCGATCGAAAAATCCATGTCTTTGTATTTTTCCTTGATAAAACGATGTAGATTTGTTGCGTTTAGGAGTTTTAAAAACAATTTAGAAATCAGAAACACTGCCTTTTTATTCGGAAAAATGATGCTTAGAAAGTAGCGTTTTCCGCCGGATTACTCCTCCCCCGCCCCCGATAATGCAAGAGAACCAAAAAAACGGCTTTTCGTGGGTTTCGCAAAACCAAACGCAAAGTTTTAAAGCTGTTAAAACAAAAAAGAAGCTAAAAAAGAGAGGTGAACGCTAAAAAAACGCGAAAAAAATCGATGCAGATCTAACCGCGAGCTTACCCCGAATAAGCGCTAAAAGGTGGAAGCTGGGGACCTAAAGCTGATTTCTCCAGAATGCCCTGTTATCAGCGGCATTCTGAAGCCCGTAACGTTTTATTCGTTCGCCACCCCCCCTCCGACTGTTTTTACCGGAGGAGAAGCCTATTGATTACATGGGCTCGGTGACCGGTCAATTCGGGTGCATTTTGCGGAAGAACGGGGGATGGAGAAGCTTGATCAGGCCAGATGAAGCTGCGGTTGATTCGGCGGAGCTGGACTGTTAGCGGGGGGGGGAACCAATTTTTTCCTGAGATTCGTTACGGCCCTATAAAAAATATAGCCCATTTTTATAGCATTTTACATAGTTTTAGATATAAAAACGATATAAAACCAATGAAATTTTTGAAAATGTTTGCCTTTGGTTGAAAATGTATGAAAAATGACTAAAAAAAGGTCAAATTTTCGAATTTTTACAAATTTTAAAAATATTTTTATACTTTATCGCAATAAAAAGCTACGAAAAGCACGATAAAAATACATAATTGATCATCAAAAAAATAGGTCTGGGTTCAAAAACAGAAAGTGGTTTCCTTCCTCCAGAAACCCCCCCTAACAGTTCAGCCCCATTCGATGCTGGAAGAAGCTGAGCAAGCCCGCTTTGAGCTACGCGACGAAGGAGTAAACCACGAAACTATGAAAAAAGTCAAGAAAATAAGAAAAGTTTTTACAGGTTTTCACGAGTATGAGCCGCTGCTTTAAATCCATCTTGAACTTGTCGGTAATCTACATAACCGGAAGTAATTTTTCTGCCCCAAAACCTAGAGCAAAAAGCTTCAAAAAAAACCACTCCCTGCGCGGCGCCTCCAAAAATGGTCGGCAACACCGTAAGTTCCTTTTTATACGTTTAGGGCTCTAGCTCGAACTTCGAGCTCCTCGGTATAGGCTCTCGAAAAGCTTAAAACTCACTCATCTCCCAGGCAGGCGACGACATCAACGTGGCGGGCGAGCTTTTCGAGAGCGCCCAGCTCATCTACATCTACATGTTGGCCGTGGGCACCGTGTTCTCGCTGATCGGCTTCGGCATCGCCTACCACAACTATTGCGCGGCCGCCTTTGGGGTAGGTTTTTTAGTGAACACTGATTTTCGGTGGTTCTGGACTGTTAGCGGGGGGCTCCCTGTTCATCTACAGGTGTGACAAATATACCAAAATGCTCAAGAGACCAAGACGAACATTTTGATATCTTTTACAACCCTGTAGCACAACGGGAAGCCAAGATACAATAGGTACGGCTCGAGGGGAACCGTGAACTGCTCCACGACCCTGTTGTATCTCGGCTCCCCGGTGTGCTGCAGGAGTGCAAAGTATACCAAAATGTTCGTCTTGGTCTTCTTAGTATTTTGGTGTACTTTACAACCCGGTAGCACAGCGTGGAGCCGAGATACAATAGGTTGGGGATGCGGGTGGCTGACGAGTTAAAAATGTCGGTATAAAAATTTCCCGAAGTAAGTTTTATAGTGCTAAAGTAAGAAAAGTCTTTTCGAACGTATCTTTCATGACTTCCAGGTGATGCGCCCGCTCTACCGCATCAACGAGAAGCTGACGATCGGCGAGAAGGTGATCGTCCTGAAGACGTTCCCCACCGACACGCTTCGTCAGTGCTTTGAGGGCTTTGAAAACTTCGAATGCTGCTCTAACCCTAAAAGACATCATCATTTCCAGAGCGCCTCCAAGTCCCGAACATCGAGCAGAAGTGAGCAGCACCGTCCGCCGCGCTCAACGCCCCACCCCGCAGCATCAACTTTTTAACCGCAAAAAGCATATCCAGTTTTTCTTTCACATCTGATTGATAGCGTCCCATTGTCGTCGAATTCTTGGTCTGGTATATCTGGTGATAAACGAGGCATTTCATCACGTTTCCATGCAAAACTTTATCCCTAAACGTCAACCAGGAACAAGAAATAACAACATTGTAAAACAATTAACCAACACACGAAAAAAAACCGCCTAGTCGGCGTAGATCAGCTTCATCAAATCGTCCTCGTCCTTGGCGGCCTGGCGGTCCGTCTTGGGCTTCTTCTTGCCGGCGCGGCTCTTCCGCTGCTCGATGTCGCGCTGGTGCTTCTCCCAGAGGCCGCCCTTCTTCAGCACCTTCTCCTCGAGCTTGCGCAGATGGGCGCCCTTCTCGACTTGGGTGGCAAAGTGCTCGGCGACCTTCTTGGCTTGCGTGATTTCGACCTTCATCCGTTGCATCGACACCTGGAAATAGAAAATTATCTTAAAAATTCAAAAATTAAAAACGTAGGTGCTTTTGTATTATCGGGGGGCTCGAAAAATTTTTTGTATAGAGTATACTTAAGTCGGTTCTTTAGCATTAACGGAGGGACCGAAGTATTTACATAGGTCTAGAAATACCTAATAACTAAAAGGAAATGTTTTATTAATGTTTTTAGTAAAACAAAACGATATTTCAACTAGAAAAACTCGCTAAAAACCTAAAAAATTTGGTCAAAAGTCAGCCATTTTCGTTCGAAAAACCGATATCTTTCCTATTTTCGTTAAAAGTTGTAAATTTTTCATGTTTAGGCATTGCAAAAACCGTTTAGAAACACTTCCGCTATTGTTATGTTTAAAAAAACTCAAAAAAGCCCAAAACGAAGGAAAAAAAGTTGTCACCCCCGATAATGCGAAAGAACCAACGTATAGAAAGAACTTTATAAGTTTAAACTTTCTAAAATACCCACCTTCCTCTCGTAATCCATCTGCTCCATCAGATGAATCCACTTGAAACCCGGAAGGTACTTGCAAAGCCACATGGTGCCCGACGCTGGATGCTTGGCCTTCACCTGCACTTCTACGCCATTTAGCGATTTCTAAAGCACATTATTATTATTTTCGAACGCTCAACGAACCGCCAATCGCTTCGCCACGCTTTTCCGTGAAAATTCCACCCATCCCTCCTTGTAGGTGAGGTGGCGCTTCTTCTTGCTGCCGCGATCGTTGTTTTCGGGGGCCGTGCGAGTCTTGAACTTTTCGGAGGCTCTTGTGGGCTAAAAATAAAAGTGTATCTGATTTTTGCCAATTCTTAGCGATATTTTAAGCACAAAAACTTTAAAAAAAGCTGAGAAGTGTTGATAAAATCGTAAATCTAACCAATTTGGGTAAAAAATGATTTTTTTTAAGCTAAAATCGTTCAGGAATAGCGAAAAACAGTTTACAACAAACTCACCACCAAATAAATCCGGCCCACGCATCCCTTCGAGTACATGTTCATCTCGTCCGTCAACTTGGCCACGTTGAACCCGGGCGGAATGACGGAAAAGTAGACGACGCCCGATTTGTGTTGCTTTCGCTGAAGAAACCGTCATAAAAATAGATACCAACGTTTACCTCAGGGTCGACAAAGTCCTCATCGTCCTCAATCTCCTCCTTCACTTCCGGCTTGACTCCAGCGACGTCTGGCTCGTTTTCTTGGCGGGATGGAGCTGCCTCATCATCGTCCTCATCGAACACCTTGCTGAAGCGGTCATCTGATTGCGGGCTGAACTTTTCGTCTGCGTGTTGACTTTCCGAGACGGAGCTTCTTCTAAAAACAAAAAAAAATAAATGTTAGAATTAACCAGAAAATACTGTACCATTTGCTAAGTTACTATAGGTATAGTAATAATTACGTTAAACTATGTAATAATACAACCTAAATAGCATTAAAAGGTATTATAGTATGTTTTATAGGTAAAAGAGCTATTTCTCCAGTCTTATGATACCTCTAAATAAAGAATTACAAAGCGCGCGAATCGGGCGACATTTCTGAATTGGCCTCAAAAAGTACCTTCGCTTCCGTTTATCCTTTCGTAACGTCATGGCTAGTCGATACCTATCTAGAAAACGGACTTCTACATTTTTTCTTTGGAAAACCTTTAGATATTCACCCTTGCACATCATACTAATGCTTTCGTGTTTACAAATAAATCCTCCAAAAACTTTATTCTTACATTACCAGAATTAATCTCGTTGAAAAGGGCAATAGATACAAATCACAACAGTAGCGAAGCAAACGCGAAATCGGGACCAGTTTGTAACTTATTTTTTTGGTATCGCAAAAACACCGGGTTGAAAAGAATCTTGTACAATTTCTGGGCAAGACAAGCGAGTGTGGGAATGGGAAATGGACTACATTTTTTAATAGAAACAATCGCTTCAATGAAAAATGCTATCGAAACAACAGAAAAATTAGGCCTTGATCTTCTCGGCCATCTCGGGATGCAGGGCGCGCTTCGTCTCGTTGATCAGCTCCTGGCCGGTGCGCTTCTTGTGCAGGTCGCTGAGCACTTGGAGCCCGGCTTTTCGTGCCATACGCCCGGCAACGGATCTAAAATCACGTAACTACACTTATTACGTATTCTTTACCTCGGTCCCAAATCCCACAGCTGGAAAGCGGCAAGCCCGGTGTGCCCGGCGGCGTGAAGGCCGTGGTGCGTCGTCTGCGCGGCTTCATCTCCGTAGCTGAAAAAAAACAATGATAAAGCTGCCCCGGCTTGAAAAAGCAAAAAGAATTGCGTCGGCCGGGAATCGAACCCGGGTCGCCCGCGTGGCAGGCGAGCATTCTACCACTGAACCACCGACGCGCTGGGAGAAGCCGCGGGGAGAAGCCGATATCTCGGGTGGGGAGGGCGGGGCTGGCTAGCCCGGGCAAGCGCTTGCTATCCCCGACAAAAAGCGTCGATCTTGCCCCCCGGAAATCGTCTTTGTCTCGTCGGATTTTTGGAGTATTAGGATTTGGTTCTTTCGCAATTCCGGGGGGGCTAACCTTCTTATTTATAGCCTATGTATAAGCCTATAAATGCTTAGTAAGTGAATAGACAGTATTTTCATAGCGTTTTTAATAAGCTACAACGATATTTCCACTAGAAAAACCATTTAAAACTCTCAAAAAATGTTGAAAAAGTCGCAATTTTGATCAAAACTCGAAACCTGGTCGAAAAATCGGCTCTACACCAAAAATCGATTTTCAAGGAGAGTTCACTTCAAAAAACGTACTGAACCCTGACGTTCTCCACCGTCTCGTTGGCGATCGACTTGCACAGGTTCTTGCTCGCGCTCTCCAGCGCGATCCACACCGTCGACACGCTGGTGATGCCGCCGCCGAGCACCGTGATCGTCCCCGTCACCATGCCGCCCGTCTAAATCATTAAATTTTGTTTTATAGTTCAAAAAAACCGTACATTTCCCTCACCAAATCGGTCCCGGGCACCGGAAGCAATCGAACGGCCCACCGACACGCCCATATCTCCGATTTTGTCGACTAAAATGAGCTTTCAATTGAGGTCATGAAAAATTTAACTCACGCAAATATCGCGTGCACTTGGCGACCACCTTGCCGCCCTTGTGCATGTAGACGACGCTCGACTTGATGGCCGGCGAGATGTTGAGCGGGTTTTCGGTCGGCTGACGCCCGGAGCGGTATCTGAATTTAATTTTGAATCATATTAATTTGTTAGATTTTGATACTATACCATTAAAAACTCACTGCACATTTTTCTTTTCCACTTCACTGGCTACACGGGCCGTAGTTGCGTGCACTCCCCAGGCGATCTGCTCCCCGGCTGAAAAGCTTGTTTACCGCAAAGTACATGGGGACGGAGAGGGCAAAGGGTAATTTAGACTAGTTGTTTTCCGGGCAGTAGGACAGATTATGATGTCTACTAGAACTTTACTTGCGATAAATGGCTCTGGTGCATTAGCGGGGGGGGGACTTCCTTTATTCGACCTAAGCTCATAGTAATGAAAAGTCAGGCGGAAAATTTATTAAAATCGTTTCTATTTTCATTATAAGGCACCTACAGAAGATGGTAAATTTAACCCCCTCCGCTAATGCACCAGCTCCCACACAAAAAATCACCAAACCCCACTTTTCACTAGCAAATTGGCGATGCGCTCGCTGAGGCGCTGCTGCTCCTCCTTCGTCAGCGCGTCTTTCACCTAAAAACAGATTAGCTATTCGGAAATGTCTTTACCTCCTGGGCGCCAAGCGCTGCGTACTCCTTCAGCACGTACTCGAACTCCTCCACGAGCTTCTCGTCAAGGTCAGAGGGCAGCATGATGGCCACCATCATATCTTAAGCAACCAGATTCATTTTACTTGAAAAACCGCTCACTTGGCTGCTCTGGGGTAGGATTCGCGACGACGTAGGCTCCGAATTCGTTCTTCAGCACCGGCGTCTGGTCCTTCATCAGCGGATACACCCAGGGGCCGACCTAAAAAGTCAAGATTAGGCATAATAGGTGAATCTCACTTGAATATAGGCCGAAGCCTTCGTTGTAGTGTTCGCCGATCCCCCAACAAAACGCAGAATCTCCAGAGCTGTTGGATAGGTGGGCGCGGCCGTTTCTTCTCCCTACAACGTCATAATTTAGCTTTTCCTTTTATTACCCGATTGCAATATACCATTAATACACAAAAAAGCGTTTCGATTGTAAGAGAAAAGCGCCCACATCAATCGTAAACAGCTGGACGCCGCCCGGCAAAAGTAGACGAGCTCGGCCTCCTCCTCGCCGGCCGTGTCGAGCTTTTTTCGAATCGAATCCGTGCGCACGAAGCCGTCCTGAAAGGTTATTACAAAGGTTATCACCAAAAGCAAGCGATACCTTTCCGAAAACTCCTGGGCTCGCTTCGCTTCCACCTCCTTGCTGACGCTGGCATCCATCGGGGAAGGACCACCGGCCGGCACATTTTTCGGCCCTTGTTTCTTGAGCATTTTAAACTAAATGTAAATAAATAAATTTCCACAATCTTCAAAATACCGATTCTCCACGCTCGGCTTCGCCTCCATCATCGTGCCCCACAGCTCGGATTTTTGGGCTTTCTAAAGAACGAATTCCGGGGGTAAAATCTGGCTTTACCTTTTCTTTTCCAGCCTCCTCGATCAGGTTCAGCCCGCGCTCGTACAGCGACACGGTGTTTTCCTGAATTCATCATCGTGAAATCGGCGGTTTTGCATACATTTTGAGGCTCCAAAAAACTGCCTGACCCTGCCGCGGGCATCATAAATATGTAATACTCACATAATCGCCATCCTCATCGTAGATGAGGGCCTGGTCGAGGCAAGCATAGCCCTCCGACAGCAGCTCGTCCACCCGGTTGACGCCGTCCTTTTCGCGGGAGAAGCTCCAGAAAGGCATTGCGGATTGGTAGTCTGTAAATGGAGGTTAATGAACCGTTCCTAGCCTGAGTTTCGGCGCAACTTGAGAAAACCTATCGAAGAAAAGCTGCATTTTCATCACCAAAATTCTTTTAGGCCGCGAAAGCCTAAGATGGAGATTGTCCAAGTTTTTCCTAGCATTGTTTTCATGGGAATTTGAAAACTAAAGAATCAAGCTTCTTTTTCGCGCTAAAACTCGTGTTTTAGCCGATGAAAAGTCAAATCGTCGAAATATCAGTTCCAGAAAGGCATTTCTCATTGCTAGTCTGTAAATGAAACCTTTCGTAACATTATTCTCGACGAAAATCGAGCAACTATAAAAGAAAAGCTTCATTTATCTCTCTAAACCACGTTTTTCGCCGCCAACAACTAAACTAACGAATTGACAATCAATAACGTGCATCGCCTGCCAAAAATGATTGTGAAAAACGGCGGGGAACAGGAGCGCATGAGGGACCGCCGAATCGTCGAAATGGGCAAAACATTCAGTGCAACCGGCCCCGGCTTTCTCATGCCCCTCCACCCCAACCACCGATCCCTCGCCCGGGGTCCGCGGGTCCGGAAAGAGTCTAGCCCCGCCCTGCCCTAAATAACAACAATTTCGTAAGGCTGCCCTTTGCGCATGAGTCACATATAGAATCTAGTTCCTACAGAAAGAACATCACATACAATGTCCCGTCATTCTGCGCGACGAAAGATCTTTTCCCAACCTGAAATGCAATTGGGAGGGTAACGACTTCACCGATTTATTCGTCGCGAAAAACGATATCATACATCTGCCCTAGGCTCCTAGACGACACCAGTGCACAAGAGAAAGATAGGGAATTGGCGTGGATAGATGGCTTGACTTGGAGGGCTAGTTCCCTGTCTCTACTTCTCGGCGGGGGGCTGGGGCACGCTGACGAAGAACGAGTCGTTGCACTGCTTCAGGCCATCGGAACTGAAACAGGCGCGTAAAGGGCGAGCAAGAGTGGGTTAGCGAGACGCGGAAGCAGATAAATTTGTCAAAACGTGGAAAAAGTTGTCGTAAGACAATTTCTGGGCTAGACAAATATGAGAAACGCAGGTTTATCGATAACCAAAACGAATAAACGTTAAAAACTCACATGTATCGCTTGTTCCAGAGGGGGATGTACTGTCCAACCGCCTTCCAGTCACAGATGTAGACGGCGAGGAGGAAGGCCGTCGCCCCGTAGGTCCCATAAGTGCGCCAACTAAAAATCAACTTTTACAACGCTTTTTTAAAAAGGTAAGAAAATTTTTGAATAATTAAAGTGCGAAAAAATAATTCCAAGGTAAAAAAACTCACTAGGCTGGTTTCGTCAACGCCTTCTTGAGGAGGGCGCGGAGCGCATGTGCATGCCGAACATCCTAAAGAAAAGTGTAATATCGCCAAGCCCGAACATCTAAAAAAACGAAATAATAGTCAAGGAGGCAAATATTGTTCTGGGGTTCAACCAGTTCAAAAAACAAGACCATTTCCTTGTCGAATGACTTTATTAACCCAAGAAGAATGAAGAACACGTGACGATCCCACAAAGAAAACGTTCGTAAAGCAAGATCCCGGAATATATCACAGAGAAACCGATAGTAATAACAAGGGCGGGGTCTACGCCTTTTGGTAATGCGAATAAATAAGGAGTGTTCAGAGGCACAAGATGTAAAAATGCGATAAAAACGCGTTCAGCCGAGGAGGTTAGTGACGACGAGATGGAGGACGACGTGGGCAGATGAAGTCGCCGAACGCGCGTTCCGGCGATAAATGGGCGAACTCCTCCCTTGTTCTCCTCGTTCACCTGGATTCGGAGACAGGCTGAAAATAGAAAATAATATTCGAGAATGTAATAAAAACAATATGGCAATGTGTGTTTTGAATAAGCCAAAATAATAGATGGCTGAATTGACAGCTATCCAAAATTATGTCAAAACTGCGACGAGCCGGAAACAATAAAACGTCACCCACCAGCCAGCACGAACGAGGCGTCCGTGGAGATGAAGCCGGAGAGGGAAGGCGTTGAACGGGAACGTGCCGACGAGCACACAGTAGATGAACTAAATTTTGGGTTGAAAAAGGACCTTTGTCTTTACAAAAGGGTGTCGATGACGGCTAGTAAGGACAAAAAAAAAGTAGTTAAGGTAAACTTTGGAGATAATAATAGTTACGTAGCTTCTAGACGTAAAATACTTTGCTTTGGGACCAAAGAGTACAGATAACGATGTCTATTACCAGAACCGTGCAACATTCCAACTCTCAAAACAAAAATACCTGATAGATGCCGGTGAGCAGGATGTAGAACATGTAGGCGTCGACGATCTTCAACTATTGCGGCGTCGTCTTCTGACAGTTGTCGAAGAGGTTCTGCAGCACCTTGACGCTCGACGACATCTTCTAAAAAAAAAGGTAATTTCAAGGTTTGAACAAAAGCAAGAAGAAGTGAAAAATAAAGTACCCAAAATTTCCAGGTGGTGATGGTATGCCTCCCGAACAATTTCTCGAGCAAGAAAACTACGTGGCGTCGATAATTCCGGATGTCCGTAAATAGGCATGCTTAGTTCTAATAACGCGCGTGCTTGGAGCTTCATTTGCATTGGTAGGTTTACCGACGGCATTTTCCGGGACTTTTCAGTTCTGGCCGTTTTGAAATTTAAGCTTTTTATGTGACCACTGGACCTCCCTCACCCACAATTATAGATTTGATTGCAACGTTTTTTCAGCTTTATTCTAGGGATAAGTTTAAAATTTAATAAATTTTGAGTTGGTTAATTCGGCGTGGCGACGGATAGCGGCTCAGCACCCGCTTTATCCGCACCACTTTCCGCCACTTGGGAGCCCGGGGCCCGTCCCGGAACCCCCATTCTATGCTCAGAACCCCCCCTTGAGAGGGGCCCTGTTCGAAAGTTGGTTAGGTTTTGAAGATAACCTGTTAAGAGTTTTGTTTTCTACTGTTCTTCCTTCATTTTCTCAGAAGCTTCCTCAGTTCTCTGCAAAATATCCGCTTTCCAGGGCAGCTAACGCGATGCCACCCAAGCGTAGAAACTCGGTATGCGCAGGCTTGTAAGCTGACTGATTCTGCTCTAGAGATGTGGAAGCAACCGCACGCCGAGCCGCAGGATGATATCGACAATACGGACTTCCGGCGTCGTCGCGTCTCCTTCCACCGCGAAAAGTTTGTGCAGTATGTTGGCTTTTTTCTTTGGTGGCAATCTTTCTTTTTTTCAGGCATTACGACAAAGTCGAGCGACAAAATGATCGACTCGCCCAAGAGAAAGGCGCTGAACCAGATCTCGGCGCGTCGACGGATGGATCATAATTAGCTTTTTCTGCTAAAATTTCTTGTTTAGGAAATGTCGCTGAACCGACGCCCAGCCGCAACGACACCACCCGGCAACTCGCCTGGCGCGCCCCTCGACTGCCGAAGAAATCGATGGACCAATCGCACCTGCAGCGTTTCCTGAACGAATCTGAGGCGGCCAACGCGACGTCGAATATCTTCCTACAGCGTGAGTCGATGTTCGCGGTTTTTTCAAGCTTTCGCGATTTCTAGCACCACAATCCGGAACCTCGCTCCACTTCTTCTCAGATTCTGTCAGCATGAGCGTCGACACCCCGATGCCGATGGAGGGCAAGCTTCGTGCCGACGTCATGAACAGCTCGCGGGCTTCGTTCTCCGGCCACAACACCACGGACCTCTCTTTTGCGGATATTAGTGAGTTGCCGCTTTCTTGAGAGCAGATAATTTTGTTTTTAGATAAGACTGCATACTTGTTCGGGGCGGCCGACGGCAGCTCGTGCGCGAAGAAGCCGAAGAAACTCGACTCAGACGGCGCCGTCATCGACCAGAACCGCACGCAGCTCTTTGGGAGCCAGAACAAAGATCCCGTCGACTCGTCGTTCATCAACAAGACGATGGATTTGTTCCAGCACGAAAAAACGACGCGCCCCAATATGACGATGGACATGAGCATCAGCGAGACGGTATAATTTTTAAGTATTGGATTTGATTTCACCTTTTCGAAAAATGGCGATCGATTTTTCATGCCGTGAAAACTTTTGCATTAAAGCCCGCTATTTTAGACGGTGGTAAACCGATCCAGTCAAGGCACCCCCCAGACCGTCGTCTCCTACGAGCACACCCACGTCAAGATCACCTCCGTCGAGAGATGGCATCGACAAGAACGACTGGGACGGCTTCGATGGAGCCGACCGAACAGATGCGCTATGGACGGACCGCCAGGCGACCCCAAGAAGGACAACAATGCGGAAATGGGCATCAACGAGGATCTGCACATGGTTTGTTTTTCGATTTCTATTTTGGAGTTCTTTTCGCAGTATCGGGAGGAAAAACAGGTTTTCTGGATCAGAGCAAAGCCTGAAGTAACTCCGTAGGGTATTTTCAGAATGTTTTTTGGTAAAATCAAACTTTATGTTAGTCATAAAACTATCTGAAAACGCTGGAAAGAGATTTTCAAAAATTCAAAGTTTGGTTGAAAAATCTATATTTTTGGAATTTTAGCAGCCCGAGATGAAGAGGAACGTCGAAGGGCCGACGCTCCACGACGACAGTGATACCACCCAGAAGTGTGGTGGGAACAGTCACGCCCAAGTCGAGAGAACGAGGAGTGTCGATGGTCCTAAACGAAAGCGAGTCCTCGGACGAACTTTTGTACCATCAG